TGTTTAAACTAGCCACATTTCATTTAAGCATCTCTACATAAAATGAACGAATGGGATGCTACCACAAGCATGTACAACATACACTCCTTTGACCTTTTTTACTTGTTTTTTTACTTGATGTGACTGTATTATTTATGAAAACACAAAGATCAGACCGGTATCAGCCAATATTCAACATTAAAGTAAGCAAAAAAGTAGGGACGTCCCTACAATTTAGCTAGAGGCTAAACATAAAGAAACCAAAACAGACCCTTTCTTTTAATTTCTGATTTAGATTGTATTCATGTACTGATGTTGTTATTTCAGCAAATGTCTCTAAACCCGCAGTCAGTCTAAGTGTGTTACTCTGTGAGCCTTCTCAGGCTTTGCTTTCAAACTTGGCTTGAGTCTCACATGTTGTTATAAAGCGATATAAAGATAACCCTAAGAGTTACACCAGCATAGGTTTCTTTTTCTTTTTTGTAGGCTTTCTTCGAATGCAGATTAGTGTCATTGCATCCCGCAGCTGGCATTGGATTTAAGCAGTTAGGTTAAGCGTTACGCTGTGCCAGATGAAATCAATAGCCAGCTTATTTTTAGACCAGTCTCACTATGATTGTCTTTCTAAATTCATGGGCGTCTATTTTCAGTATTACCATGAGAAAAGCTTTGATCCTGCGCAGCTAAAAATGGCAAGGCGGATCGCCTTAATCCGCAAATTGTACCTGAACTTGTCTTTCCTGTAAGAATGATTCAGGAATATTTGGTAGTTCTTGCAAAGCCAGTGCAGAGATATTTTTAATTCTTTCTTGATGTTACCTTTATTTCTTACATGTTTATCATAAACAGATGCAGGATATAGGCCTAATATTCCATTTTGTTTTATAAGAGATGTAAGGCGGCTTTACTGCTGCAGGTAAATATGGTTTACTTCCTTGCATTCTTGTTTCTCCTCTTCTTCTTAGTGTCAGATGTGACAAGGAGGCGGTGAGAGTGGGATTTAAAATGGAGAGTTGAAACCCCCCATTCTGTGGTATAATTGAACACTTTTGATGTGAGTAGATTAGCATGAAAAAGAAGGGCCATAGCATTCTCTGTTCCTTTCATGTGTCCGGGCCAGGTCAGTACATCAGATTAATGGAAAGGGGTGGCGAGCAGGACCACGTTTATTTACACATGATGGAGATTACAGTAGCTGTAGTAGGTGTTCTGGGGGTGCACCTCTGAGCATTTTGTTGAGTAAAAGCTATCTGTAAATTTGTGCTTTAGTGTAAAACCAGTGCTGACTACCCTGGGGCTGAGGTAGACCAGTGGATTGTGTTGTACCACTGTAATGTATTACAGACACTGTAATACTACCTTCTTCCTATACTAGATACTGCATGATGCTCTACACAGGTTGCTTTAAAGTGCCATTCTGGAACATTTAAAAGTAGCTACTGATCTGGTACCAGGTATCAGCATCGGGCCAATACCAGCAGAAAATGCTGGATCAAATATTGGTAGAGAAATAAAATTCTGTTACAAATCTAGCTAATAGCTCCCCCTTCTGGATCATTTTCAGCCTGTTTAATGTGAGTGAGTGAGTCTTTAGTAGTGCTGACAAAATGTAATAATAACACATTCACGCAAAAACACCATTAACACATTCTCCTAGTTTTACCTCTCGAACCATCTGTAATTCCAGCCTAAAGACCAGCTGCCTGTATGCTGTTTCTATGACTACATTGTACCCCTCTTGTTCAGTTACAGCTTTTAAACAAAGAATTTCAGTTGATATGTCTCTTGATAAAGTTCCAATTTCTGCGTTGTGAGTGTATTTATCACTGAAATACATCCAGCAAGATACAGTGCTGATGCTAGTAATATCAGTAATATCAGTAACATTAAAAGCAGAGGATACGTTCAGTGCATGCTGCACTGTGCTTGTAGGAGAGCTATGGATAACTCAGTGAACATCAAACTAGTAAAAGCAACAGGAAAGCAGAAAACTACAGTTCCCATAAAACCATAAGAAACACTGCGGTATAAAAGTGGGATGCTGCAGTCATTGAAACTACTACAAAATTGAAATGTGCAGCCACTGTTGCTCTCACTGGACGTTGGTGATGGAAATTGGAATCTGCATTCACTCTGTTTTCATCTTCACTCTGTATTCATATTATGTTTACGTTCACGTCATATGAACCTTATTGATTTATTGAAAGTAATATGCTCTGTTTAAGCTTTTGTCTGCTCATATAGCTGTAACAATTTTATTTTACCTTCAGCTTTTCCAAGCATAAATGTCTTTTCCAAATATTTTCTGCAATTCAGTAAACATTTTGTGTTTTGATGAAAAATATTATGATTTTATGTGTGTACAGCTGTTCAAAGCTGTGTTTACTAGTCATGTACTGGCCATATTTTTTGAGTTATGCTAAAAATTGGCTTAAATTAGTCACTATCAAAACAGTTATTACTATACATTTGGTAAAGGTTTGGTAGTGTTATGATTATTTTGATATTTTGTCAAAATGGAATATTCGATCATTTAGTTTAATAGAATAAAAATAATTAAGGTATAGAGTCACTAAAAGCAAATGATTTTAGTCTAAAGTCCAAGTCAGTTAAAAGTCTGAAATGGATTTTCAACTTTGACTTTGAACCAATTCAGTAGGATGACCTGTATACTGGTCAAAATTCTTCCTAAGGTATTAGTTACTTTCGGTACCCATCGGTATGCTACAAATAAGTGCAGATAACACAACGCGCGAACAGCACCTAACATGCTAACATTAGTCCTTTTAGCGTCAGGTTAGAATCAGGAATCTTTCAGTAATGCCTCATCTCCAATTATGTAGTCTACAGTCTAAGTTAATGTTACTCCAGGTTTTTATTGAGGGAGTGAAGGTTAAAGAGACATATGGAAGGAACCGCCGGTCTCTTGGGGTAACAGTAGCTGTTAGCCTTTAGCATAGCAGCCCGCTAGCTGCGCTTCTGTCTCTTCTTGGGCTGCCTGTCTCAGCTGAAGGGGCATTCTAGAAAAATAGTAAGTACAGAAAGTAACAAAAATAGGTTTCTTAAAGGGCCGATATCCTGGTAAACCTTTTTTTTTCTTTACTTTAAATTTTCAATACTGTTTGCTGCTGTGTCCATAAAGTCCATATACAGAAATTAACTGCCCATTTCGAATTTGTGTTGATGTCATGAAAACCAACACTTTAAATATATCCTCCCATTCAGCATATAGCAGTTAAGCTCCAGTCATTGTTGTTGAAGTGTTTCAGCCCAGGCTACTTTTTAAATGAGGCGCAATACAGGACTGCCAATCAGAACCAAGGTCATTTACATATATAAGTCTTAAAGGTACAATAACAAACACATCCTGTTTAATTCTAAGGGATAGCAAGAGGTTGGAAATGGTGATGTAAAAATTCATTATGGCAAACCCACACAAATGTCAGAAGTCGACCTTGTGAAAAAAAAAAAATTAAATGCAAGAAATATCAACAATAAAAGGATACATTTTAAGATGCTTTTATTGGAGGGGAGAAAAACAAATATATATCAAGGTAATGGCCGCTACTGTAAGATTATGTATCAGAAGGGGGATAAATGGTATTGGTGCATCCCTAATGCAGAGCAAGGAGAGGTCAGTTTTTTTTTTGCCTGCTGAAAGACCTAGAAAGTTCTTCTAGAATGGTCCTCTACTTCCAGTGACCATAATGGCAGCAGACACACTGAGATTAATGAAGCGTTGCTTAGGACAGTTTAAGATGGCTGGAGAAGGATTGGGCTTCAGTAGCTGTCAGAGGCAGGTGCTTCTAAAAGTCTCCCACTTTATTTATAGAGCTCTCCAAAAAAGGAAGCAGCCTGGATCAAAAACGGATTCAAGCAAGTGGGATGGAAAACACATCAGTTTGCTTTCTTTCTAATCACCTCGAATGTAGTTTTAGAGATGATGTTTCCTTTTTTAGGATGCTGCAGTAACAGACGTGCTTTGAGCAGACACTGATGTTTTTGCTGATGAGCGGTAATTGGGGAAGTGGGAGTTTGGTGTCTGTCAGAAATGTTGTTAGTAGTTCTTCACGCATGAGCCATTGCCAGTGCAGAAAAATACTTTGACAACCATAATCTAATTTAAGCCCATGAAACAGCTGGTGCTTGGTGGATCAGGGGTTTGGTTTGAGTGTGATGAAATTGTATCCCTGACTGATTGTTCCTCCAGGAAGAAAAAGCCTGACTCCTTTGAGCCTGATTTAACCTGTGGTGGAGGAAATACACTGCCCTTCAAAAGTGTGGGAACACCTTGTGTTCATTTGAAATTGTTAATATAAAACAGCCATAATAAAATCGGTAATTCAATACACATGTATGGCCCCACACATTAACAGAATTGTTTTTTTACTTTATTTGAAAACACTGTCTGTTTATGCAATGGTTTTGACTGTTATGTAGCTTTAAAAGTTACTTGTGATTATTATTAATGACAAAATTAATTATTTATTGAACGTTGGAGTATATATTGTACTTTCTTCCAGTTTGTTAGAGCAACAAGACACTTGATGCCTTGCCTTACAGGAATATTACCACAGTTAAGTGGGTTTTATACCACACTCCTCATCATGCCTAACAACACTTAACTGTGATTTAAGGATATGAAAAGTTTGAATGCTGTGGATAGACAGGAGAATAAAATGTATGGGGTATGGCATAATTCCCAAGAAGACAACCAGTTGATCACTAGCTAGCATCACAGTTGTATTTATTAGCCTCTCAGTGGCTATCAGTCAGGATTTGTTAAGCGTCTTAGGGATTCTGAGTATTTGTATGATGTATTTGCATAATGCATGCTGGGTACTGTAGTGAAATTCTACTAAATTGTGAATTCTCTACAGCTGCCCCTTTTAGATTATTGCAGTGCAAAGCTGCTCATTTATGAAAAACATTATCAAGAGCTAGATGTGCTGTCTGAATAAGTTAGGGTTATTAATTAAGATTCTTACTCCCTCCCGGTCTTCCTCTTATCTCTTTTTCAGCCTAGAGAGGGAAGTCGTATCTGGAAGATGCACATGGTGAAGGGGCAGGACGGCCTGGGCATTCAGATTACGGGCGGCCGTGGCTCTAAGCGCTCTCCACACGGAATCGTGGTGGCCCACGTGGAAGAAGGAGGAGCCGCTCAGAGGTAACATCCTGCTCTCAAGCTCCATCGTTAAGAGGCAATCATGTGCTGTCGTGGCAACCGCGGGCGCCGTGGTGACACTGTTTCATCAACGTTTTATCCATATGCAAAGCGTCATGGTGACTCGAGTGCACTCTAGGACACTCATTAATCTTCAAAGCCACTGCAAAATCCACGCTTAGGCCAGTTTGAAATATACAGCCGTATTGCCACATTTTTAGCAGCAGTGTTATTCATTACTGACTTGTGGAATAATGATTAGCTGTGTTGAGTATCAAAAAATGGCACCCTGAGATTTCCAAACTGGCTTTAATACAGTGGGCCAGATTTATGTACGTGAGCAGGGGCAAAATGTGCCTTAAAACAGTTGTGCAGTGTGCTTTAAAGTAATGTTCAGTTTATAAAAGCAAACCATGCATAGGCCTGGTTACTTCCTGCTCTGTGCTTTTTAGAGGTGCAGGGTTTAAAAGGCACAGTGAAGTAGTGAAGCTATCAACAAGCTCAGGACAAAAGGGAAAATGAAAGTCCTGTGATGGAGAGATATGGTTGTTAGGTTCTTTCCCACCAAAACATTGCGCAAGCACGTAATTCTTCTCCAGCTCAAAACATTGGGGGTTTGGGAAACAGTAACAAGCATTTTGAGTGCATATTACGGCCACATCAAGGCAGATTTTGCGCTGCTCTCTCTCACAAACATACAACTGACTCTCTTGCGTTGAAATAATCTATTCTTTTGCAGGTGTTTATTCTTTCAGCAATTTTTCAAAGCCTCTGTTTCTGTGTAGTAACTTTGACTGTTGCCTTCATTTCCCAACAACAAAAAGTCTCCCATCACAATGTATTTCAGACACTGCCAGAGACTCTGACTCTATTAGCACTCCGGTTGCATGTTAACTGACTTGCAACTCGACTCAAGCTCAAATTAAATTTCTTCATAACTAAATTGTTAATAGTTAAACCAAGACAGTGAGAGTGGTTTGACCTGAAATGCTCAATTCTGGAGAAGCTTACTGATTCCCAGTTGTTCACAGTGGTGGTGATGTGTTTAATGTTTTTAGATAAAGTTTTGGCCTAAAACACATCTTTTTAAATACATTCATTGTGGAGAGGTACATACAGGGAATTCTAGGGAAAAAATAGCCCCTGGATTAATTACCCTTTAAGGCACAAACAAAACTGATTCAATTAGGAACCATGAACCTAAACACTAAATTAATAACAGTCATGAGCCGTCATTGGTGCAGTGCTGTTCTCCTGCAGCTTGAGCGTAGCGAGGTTCGATCCGGCTTCAAACAACAAGGCTTTTATTTCAGAAATTTCTTCATTCCGATGGACAGAGTGAAAGCTGCACACAGTGTTCAGAGAAAAGAGGCAAAAAAACTTGAGAGTTGGCTAGCATGTAGTTCGGATAACAAGTATGCTAGCTAGCTCAATGCTGTCAAAGTTGTCAGCTAATATAACCAAAGTTTTAGCAAGTTACAGATCACATTCCTTTAAAACTTCAACTGGATTAGTTACTGCACTATAGCATGCATGCTAGTGCTTGCTAGCTAGCATGCATGCTATATACAATACAGACTAACCAACCATTGAGTTGTTTTGCCTCTTTCCTTAAAACGCTGCATTAACTACTAATGTACAGACTCAAATATTTCATAAGACTTGTTATTTAAAGCCTTGTTGAACATGACTGGCTTTTCCCAGTGAACAAAGGCCATCCTTGGACATCCAAAATCGGTTTAAAAATATTCAGTCAGATGGGACCATAAAATGAACGTCAATGGACGTCCAAAATCTCAAGTTTTCAAAGTTGGTTCGTTAGTGACCTATTAATAATGTCCTCGTCCAACCAAAATCAGTTTTAAAAGTTAGACAAAGAATGTCTTCTTGTTTGATGTTTACTTTGGAAAATGTGTTAGCTAACTACATAAAGATTTGAAATTGTATTAATACAAATTCTTACTTTAAAATGCATTCTTTATTTTAATCTGTATTATTATGATGGACGTAAATTGATGCAGTAGATTAGAAGTGAATTATCTTCTTGTCCATTGTAAGGTAATTGTGTAAACAGTTAAAGGTTCTTTAAAAATAAGTTTAATACTGACATAATTTTTTTTTCAGCATAAGCACTAGTTCAGCAGCACCTAGATTACCACAGTTCAAAAATTGTGTTGAATGGACTATAATTGGAAAAACAGTCACAACAAACGTGACAGATGGAGAAAATTACTCCAGTACTAGGAGTGCATGAAAACATAATTATCCCAGTTTTCCAATTTAAGTTTTAACAAATGAGCAATCTGAGTTTTTGCTTCAGGAGTTCTTGAGTGGGATTTGCACCCAAGTCACTCCAAACTCGACCCTGACTTAAACCCCACCCCACATACTCAAGACTCTGTTTGCACTTGCACCTCAGAGATTAGACTCCAATGAATCAACTTGATCTCCCTCCGACTACCTAACCCCCTAGCTAAATTAGCCAAACCTATATGCAATCAGCCACACTTCCAAGATTTCCACCCGTTTTTTTGCTTTACTCCATGTATTTGGTACATAAATTGCACATTTAGGCTTGTATGCCAGTTTCATACGTAACACATGGGCAGAATGTATCTTGTTTGCACCCGAAAATGGTCCTTAATGTATAGATGTGTGAATGAAAGTCTGTGCTGTATAGGATTACACTATAAACCGCTAATATATCAGACTTATCCTCGCACTTATTCTGTGACTTATACAAACACAAAAATGTGGCACCACACTTATATGCAGCTACAACTGACAAATGTTAAACTGTGGGGAATTCCTATATCCCTTTAGTTCCTGCACCCCGTCTTTTCCCCCTCTATCCACAAACATCTTGCCGACTACGCCTAAACACAGACTGTGTTTAAAGCTGTAACATGTTACGGAATTTGCTGACTTGCTTCTCTTTGCGAATCATTAAACCACACGTTGGCAGAGGCTTGCAAAAGCACATCAACTGGATTGTAATGAGCCAAGAACTGCGTTAGATTTAGATCACTTGTCTCCAAACATTTGAATTGAGCCCCCCAGGTAATATTCTAAGTTAAGGAGGAACCGTTATGAAAGAAAAATGAGGCTTTGCGGTTTTTGCCTTGAAATTATTTTACAAGCCTCAAAAAAGTTCCCTGAGTTTAAGATATATGAGCCCATGAGAAACCAAGAGTCTGTCTGAAGAAAATATATGCAGCCCCTTTAGAGCCCCCGCAGTGAGAGTGGGTTATTTCTAGTGAGGTCACACAGGATCGCCATGATTGGGCCTCATTGTTAGGATATAACATTTTAAGTTTGAAATGGATTATTATATGGAACCGCAGCCCACTGAAAACAATAGAAGTGCATACTTCATCCACCTAGATTCTGTTGTGTTGTTTAGGAGAACCTTTTTAAAGAACACAGAGACATCCATCAAATCACTGCTCGTTTATTCTGAGAGCCTGTTCCAGCAGAAGGATCTCACTGTAACGGTTCATGATGGCAGTAGTTACTTCCTTGTCCTATGCAAGTATGTAGCAATGCTGGGGATTTCTTCTGAGGTCTCTTCTGTGAGAGATCATTGAGGCTTTAGGCCAATTGGACAATCCCATCACACTTTTTTGCCACTGGTTGATTTTACCGCAGGAAAATTATGCTGTCCTGGACTCTCGACCACGGATGGCTGTGGCATCCCCAGGGATCAAACTTACAATCTACTAACGATAAGCCCAGTGCTTAGACGGTTATGCCTGTATGTTTACCTTTCAAATGAGAAAGTGAATCATGCGCACTCTTCTCTCTGCTTCTCTTTAGCCAGCTAGATACCAGCTATCTTCTATTTGGGAATGTATTCAAGGCATCTTGTCTTCAGGTCGTGCTAACTTCACACTCACTGACTGAAATTTTCCACAATAAACACATGAAACCAAAAACTTTTGAATACATTGAATAGACTAGGTATTTAATTGATGCCATCAAGGTCTGGAAATTAGATAGTGAACAACCTTCATTATTTATTGTGATGTTTCTTTGCCATTCTTTACAAATGGAACATGTACTGATAGTCACTTACAATGCGCTGTTTTGTATAGTATGGGAACCCAACAGAACCATAACCCCCAGTGGTTCTGCTGTAAAAACAATGTATAAAAACTATAGGCAAATTTTTAGAATAAAAACAATTTTCCAGATTTTGTCCTGACTTTTACTCTCAGAATGGCCCTCCTGCCCATTTCCATTGTTGTTTTTTGCAGAGTTTTAATTGTCACATTGATTTTGTCATGAAGTCTTAGATAAACACTTTATCCAGGCTACAGTGATCCTAAAAGATTGCTGGTCTGGAGTTTCGGAGATCAGTATGTTGTCTGGTAAAGACTGTGATATCAAGCATGACAGTTGACAATATTTTGACAGCAGGCATAAACTCTACCTTTTCCTCATCTGGTGGGTGAAGGGCTTTTTAACATTTATTATCTTTTTATTTGTTTATTGTCTTTAATAGCCGATACTCTATTAGGTTTTTTCAAATGTAGTATCTGCCACAAGCATTTCCAGGTATTTTCAGACGAGTTAATTGTTGAACATAATAATTTTATGAGTCTGCACTGCCAATGATTAGAAGCGTACATCATTAATTATTTTTGTCTGATACTGAGAAAAAACAGTACATGAAGTTCTAGGCTTTGTGATTTTGTTTTATTTAAACTATTAACTGAACATTTGATCATTTTTATGCAATATGATTTAATAAAACATAATAAGAAGATGCATAAACATGAGCCTTGGTCTTTTTATCAAAGGGATGGACGATTGAAAGCAGGCGACGAGCTGCTGATGATCAACGGTCACTCCCTGGTGGGCCTCTCCCATCAGGAGGCTGTGGCTGTCCTACGGTCTACTGCGGGCCTGGTGCAGCTGGTGGTGGCTAGCAGGGTATGTTTAAAAAAAGACACACTACAGACAGACTCATGCGTTGTCCAGGTTTGATTTCTTCATTATGTCCCAGTATCTGCAATGAGTATTCCTGCTTATTTTTAAGGAGTTTTGCACATGAAATGTCTTTCCAAATGCAGCTGCATCCACAGCAATCCAACTGTTCCAACAGCCGAGCGTCAGCCTGAAGCCTCTAAAAAATTGAAGAGGGGAAATCTTAATGTGCTTGCTGTGTGGCTTTCATAGATAAAGTTAAAAATAAACCCGGGCTCTTTTACACCGCGCACACTCACTCTCACTCTCGCTCTCTCTTTCTTTTCAAACGGCTTGGATTCTCTGCTTGCGCCGCTTCAGGACGAGTCTGAAGTGGACTTCCACAAGTACCCGTCCACCAGCCTGCCGGACCTGGTGAGCACGTGCTCGGGACAGGACGCCCTGCCCTCCCCTGGGGAGGAGAAGGAGAACATGGAGCCGGATGTGGAGGACGTGAGGGCCAGCTGCCTCTCCCTGCCCACACAGGACTCGGTACGTACGCCAGTCGCCCTATCAGCCGCACCGTCTCCCGCCATTATCTCACACAGTCTCCCCTTAATCTGGAACTCTACTGCATCTTGTTTATGTGTGTGTGTCTGTGGCTTTCGTTATGTAATCCTTTTCATCGGTGAAAGTTTCTCCCTCTTTTTTTTGTCACCCTCTAAATCTGCACTTATATGCAGTAGTTACATAAAAGGGCATAGTTAGTCAAACATCCAAACTCACCAATATCCGATGTACCTGTATGAGAACCTGTATGTATCATGTATCTGCTGATGCTGATGCATTAACATTTATAACATGTAGAAATTGGGACTACATTTAGCTGGATCAGCATTACAGAGCAATATAATCTTTACTTTATATGGTTACAAATGCAGTAAAATGAATAAAATGCAGACATTTTGGCATAGCAGCCCAGCTTTCTGCTGGTATAAAATATAAATTATAAAAATATAAAATAATATTTTATCCAAGTGAATGATATTGGAGATAGCAAATAGCAAAAATAGAAATATACAAATAGCAATGTTTAACTGTGACAGCAATGCAGGCTGAGCTAATGGTTTTGAGTACAGAACACTGTCATGGTAAAAATAACAAAAGCATAAAAGTAAAATGTGTCCAAACCAAACCTTCATGATATCATATCATGTAGCTGTTATATCAAATAAAAGACTTTATGAAGAAAATGAATGAAAAATAGTACAAATAAGAGGTAAATAACCAATGCAAAATTGTAAACAATTAAGGGTGGCTCCACCCCCAGTGCTACAATATCTGTATTATTTAAAGCCGCACTATGTAAGATTTTTATCACTAAGTCAGGAGAAAATAAAACATGCTTTAAAAATGGTGTGAGATAGCTGAAACAAAAGTCAGGTTGGGCTTTCACTGGAATCTTCCGTGCCACGTCATACATTTTTACGTAGTAACATCACACACACAGTCAAAACAGGTCTGGCTCAATGTTTATGTTTATTATATCGGATGCTAAATCAATGATAGTATAATATTAATTTAATTTATTTTTTGATAGCAAAACAGCAAAAACAGAATTGTATGTAACTTCTCTATTTCTATTGCACAGGCTTCCAAACATACCTGAGTGCTATTGAATTGCTTCACAATTGCTATGAAGCTAGCATGCCTTATTGTTAATGAGAGCACATTTAGTATGAGTCATACCTTATAACTCATCAATATATCACTGACACAAGTTAGAAAGGGTTTAATGAGGCTTTTATCTGCTAAGAATTAGGACTTATTATTAGTCTGTATCATTTAATTCCCTTTGGCAGGTTGTTGCTAAAACACAGGCAGTCGTTTTAAATAGGCCAGTGAAGTTTTCTGTTTATCGCTTTCCTTCTTTTTCATCTGTGTCCTAGGGGCTTGTGCATGTTCTTGCGGTTTATCTCGCTGTTTTTCCGGAATGTTTTTTTTGTTTTTTGTTTTTTTTTCTTTTTGCTGCCGTTTACTAAGCAGTCCAAGCCAAAGCATTTGCCCAAATGCATCACAGATAAGAAATAATTCATTTGCTGTGAGCAAGCAGAGGCACATCAACCGAGTGCTGTCAGACATCGTTAATGTTTAATCAAGCCACAGCCAAGTGTTGTTCTAGTTTGATGATTAACAGTGACACAGCTAAATACTGGACAGTGGACAATACTGCCGCAGTCAGCATTTTGGGGGTTAAGCGTGGAGTCGGTTTCTAGAATTTAGGAAAGGGTTGTCAACAGTGCTCTGTTTGAGAGTCTCTTTGGAGTTGAGTAAAGTGGGTCACCATCCACCCCCCTCACTCTGTAACCACCACCAACCACCACCAACCACTTCCAACAGCTTCTCGCTGCACGTTCTTGCTCGCAGGGAGAAAAAATGAAAATGTTCTCCTCTCCCGCCCGCCATCAAATTATATTAGCATTCCCCGGCTCCTGCTGACTTCAGCCATGAATTGGAGCAATTACACTTGGCTTAAGCCTGTTACACCAGACTCTGCATCTGGCGGACTTTCTGACTGATATAATAGTGTGGAGTAGAGTATCAGTATCAGAACCTGTTGTGCTCCCCTCACTGTGGTAATGACCCATTTATTGTTGATTTGATGAATAGCAGATGGGCCTAGGCAATAAAGTGATAAGAAAAATGATTGAAACGAAACATTATTTTCAATATCGTTAATGCATGTTTCAGATATTTTTGATTCTCTAAACTGCTTTCCTATTTTCCAGCTTTTATTTCCCCAATTCTACCTTAAATAGGGCACCAATAACTTGTAAAAGCTTCTCCATTCAAGGTTGCGGGGGGAGCTGGAGCTCCATTTAAGGTGAAACGGAAAATGCAAAAAAAGACGTTGGCTAACTTTGGCTTCACATTTTCTCCAGTAGCTGACACATTTGGGTGCCATCTTTTCAAATGAGTTAGTATATTTGAGGTATTAGCACAGGTAAACAATGTTGGCACTATGTCACTATTCAATCTACTGCTCTTTGTCCATCAGTACACTGAGAAACCCTGCACTGCCACAGAGCTATAGAAACCATTGCTGTTATCACACATTCTATAGCGTGAAATCTAACTGTATTCCTCAGTGCATATCATCTCACGACCTCCCTAAAATAATTTAATAAATAAATAAAAACTGCTAGTAATAGTATGAACATGCATATCATGACACTCCTACTACACAAGCAGGAAATGTAGCTATGTAGCGAGAATTTCTTGTTTTTAAAAAAGTACTTGGTATCTTTTGGCTAAAAAGAAGAACATGGGTTTGGTTCCTTCCATTTCTTTTCAGTGCTCCCAGTCATCATATATGTAACGAGAGAGTTTAGAAATAAACAAAAAATACATTTACCTGCACAAAACCAGTACATTTGTACTAATGTTATTTGTGTTGAATTTTCCTTGAATATTCTTTCAACATGCCCGTAATCATCAGATTCATCCACTCAGAGAAGGGATCCAAAGCACAACTGACATTACAAAATGTCCTTCCGCACATTGCATGCAGTTACACATTTCCACCAGAGAGATCCAAATATCCAAAATGTACACAGTGCAGCTTTAGGATTGTGAGTTTCTACTGTTTGAGTTTAACAACTGATGGTCATATCAGTCAGTAAACCACTGTTCAGCAAAAACTATTGGAGGATAAAATGAAAGTATATAATATAAATATAGAATTAAATCAGCCCAAATTTTCAGGAATCTGACTTTCCTTAAAATCAGTGTTGTATCTGCCAAAAAAATTAATTCAGTCAGGCCCTAAAAATATATATGCCATGAAAAGATTTTTGGTTGTATTGCCAAGCCCTCATTTAGTGTTCTTGTATTTTTAAGCCTAACAAGGATGTTTTTGAGTGCTTGTTATTGTATGAGCATTTATTAGCTGGGTGTGTTTTCCAGAAAACTGTTCCCCGTCAGGTTCCTTTGTAACTGTCAGGTGCACCACCATTTGAGACAGAGAGAAAGGCAGAGGGAGGGAAGAACAGAAGGACAAACAAGACAAAAGAGAGAGGGATCTAGAGGAAGTGCAGAGCTGTGACTGTCACATTGAGTCTTGTGAGGCGTGGAGGTGTGTGAGGTTTCATCAAAGCCCACGGGCCTGTCTGAAACAGCACTTCTAGCGTAGCTCACACTGTAGTGCACTCATGCAGGAGACAGGCTCACATCTCCTGCAACCGAGAGCTCCCTGATCGCTCTAATAAAATCAGAGATGAGGGCCTACTCTCTGAAATGAGAGACGGCAGTCTTTTCCCACGTGTCGCTGTGTAAACTTGTTTAAGGACACAGGCTGCTGCCTGAGAGTGGAGCTTGTTGTTATGAAGCATAACTCGCTATTATGTTCAAGATAATTGGGGACAGAAATTTGCACATCATGTTTTAATGTTTATGTGTATTCGACAAAAGAGGGAGGCGGTGTTGAAAAGGTCTGTTGTGCTTCTGTTACATGTTTCCCTGTCAGGGTTTTCATAGAAATAGATTTTAGTTTGGCTGCCAAGTACACTTTGCGAAGTCTTAGGTGACTTAAGGAAGGTCGCTGTTATTTGAATAAATGGGTATCTCAACTTATCTGTTCTTTTACATAATAAGGTATTTTAATAAGATGTATGTGTTGAATAATCTGAAATATAAAAAATTAAATAAATTGTGTGTGTGTAAATGTTAAGGTTTAGGCAGTGTGTGAACGTTGGGACACACAAAGTTGATATCCGTTCCACAATTATTGAAATGACGACATACGCAGAACTACAGTACTGTACAAAAGTCAGAGAACACTTCTATTTATTTCATTTCCAGTCCCAACAGCAGCACATTCGTTTTTCAGGAGATACTTCTGATGCAAAAAGACATGATACTCCACTTGGATAAGAAAGGGTAAAGTCAAGGAAATAGGAGGTTTTCAGAGCACGAGTTCAAACCGTTTTTGAAAAATATAGAAAAATAGGGTTCCTGTCAACTATACAAGACCTGGTAGATCACCAAAACTGTCACCCTGATATAAACAGCACTTCAATATTTTGTAATTGAGACAGGAGAAAATAAAGCTCCACTCTTACTTCAGATCTAATAAAACTGCAGGTGTATGTGTTCATCCTTCCACTGTGAAAAGACAGCTCAACCCTATGAGTCTGAAAGGATGTGTAGCTGTCATGAAGCTGATACTGAAAAAAGAAGAAAATGTGCAAATCACACTAAGAAGCTGTTCTCAGAAGAATGGACTGTCCACCCCAGAGCCCAGACCTCAACATCGTTAAATGCATTTGGGATTACTTTGGGATCACTAAGCAGAAACTACAACCGACTTCAAGACTGAATTTTGGATATCTAGAATTTTTTTTATTCATAACAGCATAAAAATAACCTAGTTGGGATGTTTTAATACGACTTGAATTGTTAATTCCTGATCTTAATATAAATTTGTTCTTTCTGCCAATGCGTAACTGCCTGTGCATTGCTGAGGCTACTAATTTGAGTATTAGTCAAGGAATCAGCACTGGACAAGGATGAATGCAGAGGATGGAGGGTGTTCTGTGGCTTCATCAGATATCAAGAAGAGGTCTGTATTGGTACTTTGCATTTAAAACGGAAGAATCTGGAACATTCAGACTTCAGAGATTTGAACTGCTGATACTGGTCTGCTCTGTCGATCCAAGCAAGCCATTCTTAACAGTCCGTCCCTCTGGCCTTACTCAGGTAATAGCATGCAGACAGATAAACACATACCATGACTGCGAGCACTGACCTCTGCATGATCCTTTTGGGACACTTTGCTTGCAACCACCAGTCTGTCTCCTAAACGTCCAGGCTTTTGGAATTATTTCTGGAAGAGACCCTATGTTAGCATGTGAATTTGCTTGTGTAATGCATGTGAAATTCTTCTCAGTTAAAGTAAGGGATTCTTGAAATTCCTCTAGAATTCATTTGCCATACTAGACAAACAGATCTAGTACAGTTGAGTCTCATGTGTGGTCCTGTGGTCTCTTGCTCGCGTGATATTCACAGCCTGTTCCAGGGCTGCTTGAATGGTACAAGCTGTGTCAACAAGAAGAAAATTTTATTTAACTCTCTGTTAGAGTAAAGCAAGTGTTAACACTTGTATTGCCAGCTTTAATTAACCGTAATTATCCATATGTATCCTATGTATACATGTTTTATTATTTTTAATAAAACACAAAAAAGTTTACTTGCAGTAAATAAGTGTTTCAGTAGTGATAGTTCTTAATGTTACACACTGATTTTCAGACTTTGGGGACACATTTACTTCAAAACAATAGGATCTAACTGCCTACTGTGTGGCCATGAGGGACAAGGATGCAGAAGGTTTTTTTTTTTTAATTAAAAAATGAATCTAGTGATAAATGTAAATCTTTAAATCTTCGATTTTCTTGAATATATGATTAGCTGAATGTGAAGAACTCTAGATACGTAGAACTGTCAGTCTTTTTGTTCGATTTGGACGAGGGCACATGGCGGGTGTCTCTATGAGGAACTTTGCTGTCTTCAGCCCAAACATGCTTTTTTCTTTGTGTCTGCAAAGACAAAGTTCACCATACTGTGCTACATTCTTGAGACACTCTGCAAATGTTTAGAGATAGACCAAAGTGAATGTCTCAGAAAGCTCCTCAAGAAGAGTTTTTCCCTTTGGCCTCTGCCAGTTTTTCCCGTTTAGGACTGATGTGAAAGCTTTGCTCTGTCTTTCTGGGCTGGAAGGGACAGTTCACTGCAGTGTCACTAATTCCCTCTATCCTCTATCAGTTCACAGAGCTGGATAAGCTGGATGAGCGTGGCCGAATGGAAGGACCCAAAGGATGCTGCCGCAGCCCCACGCCTATGAAGTTCCGCAGCAGATCCCAAGGTCAGGCACACAAGTGGTGTCGTCTTATATCAAGTCAGAGCACAAGCAGGGCATGAAAAATTTGTAAAGGATGCAGTTTAAATGGATTCTTCCCAGCAGTTGCTGTTATAAATTGAAGTTTCTTTATCTCCTAGTCAGCAGCAATTAATTAATTTGATTGGCCAGGTAAGTTAAACAATACTAAATTTAATGCTGCTTGTCTCAGCCCCAGATGTTTCAAGATGTGTTTTGAAGTAAAACTCTTTTAATCCTCATCAATAGATTTCTAAATTGGCACAATATTTGCAGTATTTTGTATAGCTTACCCAGCAATGGTTATTACAGTTGGTTCATGTTGATTTTGATACAATTAGGTGGTGGCTCGCGTCTAGAGTCTGTTGGGGAAGACGATGAGCTGATAGTTGAAAACGGTGAATCAGGAAGTGACGTAGCAGAGAAGCCATCACGTGGCGGACGTAAACACTCTCTCCCACAGCAGCTGGACACCGTGGGAATCCGACAGGTCAGTCCATCATCCAGAGAATCCATTTTAAAATTACTTGTTTGGCAAAAAACAATCAAATTTACCAGTGCTGGCCCAAATAATTTGAATTCTTGAGTATTTGCCTCTATGTGAGGATTTATTGAGTTCAGGTGTGTCAGCCACACCCATTGCTAACAGGTGGTTCAGATTAAGCACATAGCCTTGCAGTCTCGATAGACAAACACTGGCAGTAGAATAGGTCGTACTGATGAGCTCAGTGTCTTCAGACATGACACTGTCATAGGATGGCAGCTCTCAGCCACGAGTCAGTTTGTGAATTTCTGTCCTAATAGATCTGTCCTTGTCAACTGTAAGAGCTATTATTGTGAAATGGAAGCGTTTAGGAGCAACAGCTTAGCGATGAAGCAGTAGACCATGCAAACTCAGAGTGGAGCCGCAGAGTGCTGAAGCGCACAGTGCCTATCCTCTGTTGAATCACTCACTAAAGAGTTCCAAATTGCCTCTGGAAGCAACATCAGCAAAAGAACTGCACATTAGGAGCTTCATGAAATGGGTTTCCATGGCCGAGCAGCTACACACAAGCCATAGATCAAAATGCACAATGCCAAGCATTGTGGGGAGTGGTGTAAAACAAGCCACCACTGGACTCTGGAGCAGGGGAAACATACTCTGTGGAGTGACAAATCACGCTTCCCTATCTGGCAGTCTGGAGGACGAGTCTGGGTTTGGAGAATGCCAGATGAACGTTACCTGCCTGACTGCACTGTGCCAACTGTAAAGTTTGGCGGAGGAGGGATAATACTATGGGGTTGTTTTTCAAGGTTTGGCCTAGACCCCTTAGTTCCAGTGAAGGGAGATCTTAATATTTCAGCTACCAAGACATTTTGGACAATTGTATGCTTCCAACTTTGTGTGAACAGTTTGAGGAAGGCTCTTTCCTGTTCCAGCATGACTGAGCCCCAGTGCACAAAGCAAGGTCCATATCAAGGTTCAAATCTCCAGGCATGGCTGAGTGAGTTTGGTGTGGAAGAACGTGACTGGCCTGCACAGAGCCGTGACCTCAACCCCATTTAACAAACACACACACATATATATACACATATAAGGTATAAAGATATTTAATATAGTGACTGTTTAAGATGTATCAGTTAATTAAAAAAGACATGTACATGCTAAAGATAGGAACAACAGTAGGGGCAATTTTCAAATTCCAAACTCTGGGCTGATTTGTTTTTTTCCAGGAGTGAAACCATAAAATGTTAATTACTGACTTTATGTAACATGGCAGCCCCAAACTGAACACTGTTTGGGCATTTTGTAAAGTGCACAGCACTTTATTTACAAACTGCTGGATTTGTTCAATAGTGTTTAAAATACCTGTAGAACTACAGCTACGATAAACACTAGAACTTTACCTTTCATTTCTGCTAGCACATGCAACTATATTATCACACTGTACCACCATTTGGCATTTAGAACTAAACATTTGATGCCTGTCCCATGCAGCTGTCGCATCTCCAGTGTTTTAAAATGGTCCTCTAAGCATGTGTGGCCTGGTTTGTGATGCAGAAACACAGAGAGCCACCCAAGACAGCCTTAGCGAGGTCTAAGTGTTCTTTGATGTCTAATTATCCGGCAGAGGAACATCAAAGGCCAATCTTATCGACCAGTCTCTTTCTTTAACACAGATTGCGAGATCCCCATGGATTCACTAATTGCGATGGTTGTCAGAAGCTAATTGAGAGATGAGAAGGTGGAAACTGACCTTAGATTAACCTTTATTACTAGTGCTATGACTGTTTTTCATGATCTTATTTTGATAGAGGATTTGACATTAGATTTAACATTAGGTAAAATGTAATGGCCTGGGCAGTATTTACCATCTAAATGTGTCCCCTTCCAGCCACAGAATGGCACCTATAAATATATACATACTGCTTCCTCTTGAGGCTGCATACGTTATAAGTTGTGCCTGAAAAATGAGAGTAAGCTTTGCTTAATAGGTCTTTTGTCATAGAGTATTATTATAAGGCTTCAAACTGGCTTATTGTCATAAATGAATTAACAAGTTAATAATTATTGTTGTTTGTTTGCTCCTTGCACTGAAGAATGAGGCATGTGTGGTGTGTAGTGTCAAGCTTTATTCAAATTACATGGTCCCTTTTATAACCTTCTCCAGGAATATCAAATCGTGAAGAAATCAGCACGTTCCCTAAGTACTGTTCAAGTGGAGTCTCCATGGCGACTGGCACAACCGTCCATTATCTCCAACATTGTCCTGATGAAAGGACAGGGCAAGGTGAGTGGCCTCTTTGGACAATAGATGCAGCCACACAAGCACCTTCTGTGCTTCCTCATCATATAAGACAGACCTTTGTTGTATATTATCGAGTCATAAATCATACAAGTGTCATGATTTATCAGATTAAACTTAATCCTTGAAATATATTTGGATATTGGAGGCAGAATTTATTTTATTCAGTCATTATTTTTCTATATTTTTTATTACTGGGGTGATAAAAATATAGAAAAATAATGACTGAACAGAAAACTGAATGACTGAATAAAAAAATTCCAGCTCAAGTGTAGTATGTTTACTATCCAGAGTGACCTGTGAACCTGTTGGTCTTCTGTGCTTTAATGTAATACTGATGATGCTAAAATATGGATTAAATCCAAAATGTTTCTTTGGTGACAATATTTTTGGAAGTCTGGTCACTAACTTCACCGCTGTGAACGTTTCTGACCTGCTAAGGCTTTATTCACATTAACAGGCAGAAGTGGCTCAGTTTTTTTTTGCCTTAATGTGATACAGATCTGATTTTTTCAGATCTACATGGACACGCAAAGTGATCTTTTCAAATCGGATCTGAGCCACTTTCAAATGTGGTCCTTGATCAGACACATATCTGATTTATGGCAAACCGACCTCAATGAGAACACTCAGATCAGAATTCATGTTTTATTTTTTTTCTTTTCACTGCGCGTGTGATATCTTTCAGCAATAACATGGCAACAGCACCTAACCTGAAGTGCGTGCCAGTAAACACTGCAAAAGCAATGCTTTAGACTCTGTCTCACCTTTGTCTCTCTCTAAGCTGAGAGCTGTTCAAAGCTGATTATCTTTGTGACGAATTCTTGTTCTGCTGGTTAGTTTTGTTTGCTGTTCATGAATCATGTGGTTCATTCTCGTGATGTTTTTGGTCAAGATGTGTGCATTTGGGTCATTTCAGGAGACAGTATACAATAATAATAGATTTGATGATAACACAAGCCGGAAGAATCAGATTTGAGCAAAAAATCGGAATTGAGCAGTGAAGCCTGTAATGTGAACGTAGCCTGCACCTCACTAGAACGGAGCATTTCACATAAAACTAGAAATCTGCCATTTCTTTAGTCCCGCTCCCACAAAATGGTTAACTGCCTGCTCCTGCGCAAAACTATGCAGACACCTTTTCTTAATTAAATTCAAATTTCAAGCGTGTCATCGGTGTGTGCCAGGAACATGTCACAGAACTAAAATTTCATACCTACCAATTATATGTACTGTTATAGTATAAACACTGGTTCTCACACATACTAGTTGCATAAACTGTAAGTCTTTTTTGTCTTTTCTTTTATGGCAGGGTCTGGGTTTCAGCATTGTTGGAGGCCAAGATTCTGCTCGAGGGAGGATGGGGATATTTGTCAAGACTATTTTCCCCAATGGAGCAGCAGCAGCAGATGGAAGACTCAAAGAGGGTAAGTACTCCTAGGACTGTGAACCACTGTATTAGTAGACACATATACTCTTAAAAATAAGTGTTCCAAAAGGGATGAATGTAATATAATATGTATATAATATAATTTTTGTAAGTGAAAAGCCCCACATAATGCAGACAAATCGTTCTTGGCTTGGATGCAAATCACAAATCGTTCTTGGCTTGGATGGCAGCACCCCAAAGAACACTTTCGCACCTTTATTTTTAAGAGTGTTGTTGTTGGCAATTAGTTCCAAATAAAATGTATTATTATTTAGGTGATTTTAATTGGTTTAGTGATAGTGATGTGCATTCTGAGTATGCCAATGAACGGATATTTGGTTAACCAAAGGAAAAATTCATTATGCAAGGAACTCTATTGAACATATGTGGAGTGGTAAACAAACCGATACACTGTTTGCTGGTGTAAAGAGGTTTACAATGAGACTAAAGCCCAGACTTATGCTTTTATAATTTTAAGAATGCATCGGTCGTCTGCACAAGCTTCAAAGTTAGCTCACTCAATCTAACTAGTAAGCTTTAGCAAGTAACCTACGAGCTCCATATGATTTTAATTTTGCCTTGAACCTTGTAAACATACATCAAACTGAATGTCTTCACTCCAAATCTTGACTGTCACCAATTCTGTATAAAATGTCATGGATTCAAAGAAGAGAAAGCTTGCATCTGGAATGGTTAAATAAACTCTTCTTCAGTCCAAATTTTATACTGTGCAGTGTGTGTATAAAAACCTTCTGAGACAACCCTTAACCTTTGCTAAAAAATCCTGAAAATGTTCTTATTTAGTTGATTTTTGGACTGTAATTTGATTGGATATTGCTTTAATATTTCTTTTCTCTGTTCAGATCTTCCCTCTCACCTTTATCATATTGTATTAATCTCCTCTGTCGTTTGTCCCCTTCATTCCTTCTTTTTCAGGGGATGAGATTCTAGAAGTGAATGGAGAATCTCTTCAAGGCCTCACGCATCAGCAGGCCATTCAGACTTTTAAGGTAAACCTCTTAATTATCCTTTCTGACAGCTGCAGTCAAGCAGAAGGCCCGACATGGTAGTTTTGGTCACATCCAGATCCTTGAAGTTAATCCTACTGCTCAAGCTGTGGTCAGGTCAGCTAGGGGTCAGAAGTTGCTATTTGGAATAGATCTTAAAAAATCTGTGGAATTCTGTGACCGTTCCTGAAGTGTTCAGTGAGTGTTTTTCATCTTTTTCAGTGGTGACAGCATGCTTATGGTTAGTATCTCTCAATCAGAGGTTAGAAATGAGAATGAAGTCTGAAAAACAACAATACTTTTCACCAGAAAAATAAAATAGAAAACACAAACAAAGTCACTTTTAAGTCATCCACAGAGACTATTTTTTTCTCAGATATGATTAGGCAGTTAATATTGTGGTTAGTTTTCACTGACTGTATGTCAGTTTTTTTATGACTAAATGAAGTATCTTTCCTTCAGTTTGCTCTTTATTGAATGATGTCTCTTTACTGCAGTGGTCTTTAGTAGGATAAGGTGTGACCTATCAGTAGTCAGCTATGTGGTGACCGTCTTTTGCAGACAAATATTACCAAGAACCAGTTAAATTGTTCATGTACAATATTTGGCATTGAATCTTGCTATTACTTAGTTGACTTACATTACCCATCAAACATTACCTGACGTTATTAAAAGACAATGCAGATAAGTGGCTGCAATACAGTCAAAAACATGGAAACACTTAGTCTAAAAAAACAATTCATTGTGTAAACTCAGCCTCACCTGGCATAGCAAAATGACTTATGCATGATAACGATAGTCAAAAGTCAATTCAAAAAAGCATGTCATCAGCCCTATTCAACAGGATTAGTGTTACATGGGGAGGTGGGGTAATGTCATTATTACTGGCGTTTCTCAGTGATTTTAGTCCCGACTGAATGTGCCATGTCAGTCATTTTTACCGACTGCGCGCTCTTGCTAATTCCAAGCTAATGGCGATGCTAATTATGCACTCCATTCAGACAGAAAATTAAAAGGTTTGGCTAAACGAAACAACAGCTAAATGAAATGTTTTAACATCTTTTCTGCTCTTTTCTGGAGTGAGGTTGGTGCGCAAATTGAATAGTCCCTCCCATCTCTGTCATTCATACCGAGATTTCTTATCCCGTGTGAATCACTCAGAAACATTACAGACGTTCTAGGGTAAACTGGCACTCTCCCACCTCCCCATGGAAAACTAATCCTGTCCGAATAGGGCTATTGTTTACTTTTCAGCTAGCTCTGTAATAATTTAGGGAATAGAAGAATAAACACTGTTGGCTGAAGAGATGAGCTGCATTTTGAAATTGTTCACTTGAACTGTGTAGCTAAATTATTCTGTTTCATTTGAAGGGATACATTTTGAAAACATCCGTTGTTTTTTTGTTGTTGTTGTTTTTTTTCCCCTCTGCATTTTGCTTCCAGCCACACAAAAATAACACTTTAGGACACTGAGAACTGAGCTTTTGGAGACGTTTTCCCCATTGGAGACGATTTTTAAAATGGTTTTCTTTTCTGATGACCAGGCACTTTCTGCGTGGTTGGTAATATCAGGTTTTAGTAATGATGTAACTGACCACACAGATGCTAATTAATTCAGCTTTGCTTTAACATTAGAGGAAAAATGTTTAAATAAAAAAGTTATATACAGAGGTCTTGTAGAATCAACCTATCCTAACAAAAAATACTTGGACTGACACGTTTTCTGACACGACTGACAAGATTTCTTTGTGTTTTTCTTTTAACAACAAGAGAATCAGTGACCTTTTCACAATAAATCAGTTAGTTGAAATTATAATGGACTGATGAATCAATCAGGGAAATAATTGTTAGTTGCAGCTCTAAATAATGCATGCATTTTTTATTTGAACATTTAATAATTGCAGCAGTCAATCATTCAGTGTTGCTGTTGTTTGTTAATAGCATAATATACTCACTGTATGCTTTATAAGAAGAGCAGTATTAACCATTCTTTTATTACCCTGCAAAGGGGAAAAACAGAAATATAAAGTTTCTGTTCAGAAGTGAAAAATATTTTGTTTTTAGTTCCTGCTCTTAATAACAACATTTTGAGGCTTTCGTACTGAATATTGTGAATATTGTATAATATAAATGGATGTATAATATGCAGGATTAATGTAGAATTTGCTGATCAATATTATTTCTGTTTTTCGCTTGTACAGCAACTGAAAAAAGGTGTGGTTACCTTAACTGTACGCACCCGTCTGCGGAGCCCCAGCTTGACCCCTTGCCCGACGCCCACACTGCTCAGCCGATCAAGTTCACCCAACTCTAACACCAGTGGTGGGACCCCTGTACCACCTGGGTTTGATGATGGAGACTCCCGGAAGGGACCTGGCCCGAAAGATCGTATCATAATGGAGGTCACACTAAATAAAGGTAGCTGTTGTATAGGGTTACTTTGTCAAGCCAAAGCTGATCAGACTGAGATCAAATTTCTTTTAAGGGCAACAGATGATGTGAAGGTAAAGCTGTACTGTGTAAGATTTGGGGAAACATGTAATTGTACGCAACGTTTTATAACAACATTTTGCAACGTTGGTTGTGCTTCAGACCACTTCCCCGAAAAGATGAATCTGATAGTTTTGATCATGTGGAAGGATTATTTAAGGAAACCTCTAGACTGAAAGAACTTTAGTCCTCTAAAGCAGCGTTTCTTAACCTGTGGGCCGTGAAGCACCCTCCACAGGCCTGTACTCAGAGGGAGGCAGTAATTTGGGCCCATAATGTCACTGTAAGTCATAAAAACCTAAGTGGAAAAATGATTAACTTAATAATTAAAAATCTAAGAAACGTTTTCACAGTATAACCAATATAAATATTAATAGAGATGTACAAATAAAACCATCACAGTAGTGGGCTAATTAAACGTCATCAGTCTAAGACAATGCAGTCGTGGGCGCACGATGCAGGCCATTAGCCAGAGATAGAGAAGTTTCTCAGGGCACCTTTTTCTTTAGTTTGCTTTGTTTTGACACGGGTGAACACTCCACTCGTATTCGGGTCTATAACAAGCAGCTGAACCGGTCTGGCGGAAACCTGTGGGTCTCGGTCCGCTTCAAACCAAACCCTGTTCAGATCACAGCTGATGGAAACGCGCTCTGTGATCAAACAAGGGAATTTATCAGTAGAGCTTGCTTTTCTTCTCTTCTAGAAGCACGTCGGCGCCGTACAGTCAGCATAACAACTATTTTAACAACTGACTCCTTACAGACTCTCAGCATAAGCTGCTGTTAAAAACAATAGACAAGCCATAAAATAATAGAGATGTGTTTGATTTCAACTTGGATCGTTGACCATGAGTGGTTAAACTCGAACTGATAAACCAGTGACAAAGAAGATTTACCAGTATTGTTGATTGTGATGATGCTAATTCAAAAGGCCGGTGAATGGAGTGTGGTTTATTTCAAATGAATCACAAAAAACCCTCAAAACTAGAGAAATCTCGAGAACAAACAATTACTCTTCTGGGAAAGCCAGTGGAGTGTTTTCAGTGAAAACGTGATGAACTGCAGCTTCAAATCACATCTACCTTGTACATTTCTATCCTTTCTTCCCCATTTTTGACATCACTACAACCATGTTTTTTTCTTTAACACATTTTCAGTTTTGTTTTTAACATGCCTGCAAATTTTGCAAACCTACTGACAACCAGAATGGCCAATCTGGTCTTTTTTTTTCTTTTTTTTTGAGGCCCTAATTTTCAGGTTTTCAGTGTCAGCATTTAAGAAAAGAAAACTAAAGTTGTATTTAAAAAGTTGATTTTAGTTTTCCTGTGGGCCGCTATGCATTGTAGTTATACACAGGTGGGTCTTGGGGTAGAAAAGGTTGAGAACTCCTGCTCTAGAGCATATAAGTGAATTATCCACAAACCCAATTGCATCTACTTTGACCTGTATTTGAACAGAATGTACAAAGACAAGATATTTAATGTTTTACCTTGTCAACTTGTCAATTGTTTTTGTAACCATACTTCTATTCTGAAATTGATGCCTGTAATATGTTTCAAAAAAGTTGGGATATGGGCAGTTTCACATTAGAAACATTGTGAAATGTTAACATCATGCTTGTATATAAAAGCAACATTCAGGAAAGGCCTAAATCTTTAAGAGCAAGGATAGGTCAATGCTCACCACGTTGCCCAAAATGCATCAGCAAAAAATCCAGCAGTTTAAAAATAACATTCCTAGGCCAGGGATTGCAAGGATTTTGTGTATTTCACCCTTTAAAATGCATAATATCAAATGAATCAGGGAGTTTGGAGAAATTTCTGCATGTAAAGGGCAAAGCCAAAAAACACAGCTGAATGTCAGTGACTCTTAATCCCTCAAAGAGTACTGCATTAAAAATCAGCATGCCTCTGTGATGGACTGCACCACAAAGGCAAGTTAGGACCATACGATGCACAGCAGAAACCAAATGACAACAAAATGGACCATCCCGATTGTTAGCGTAAAGAGCCTGTCATGGTATGGGGAGGTGTTAGTGGGTAACTTGCACATATGTAAAACCACCATTAGTGCTAAACACGTTTTGAAGCAACATATGCTGCCATTTAGAATCTGTCTTTTTTAGGAATGTCCAGGCTTATTTCAACATGATAGCACCAACTCACAGTCTGCACTTACAACAGCTTTGCTGTTTAATCAGAGAATGTGGATGCTAGACTGGCCTGCTTGCAGTCGAAAACTGTCTCTCCCATTTCCCGTTTCTCTCTTCTGTCCCCTAATATTTAATGTTGTTAAAAGGGAAGGTGATGGTAAACATGCACTGCAGTGACACTAACATGGTAGTGGCATGCTAACAAATGCAAAAAATGAATGGACTACAGTCTGTAATTGTACAACTACAAAGTGCACCTGAATGGTAAGATGATAAAGCTGATAAAATGGACAGTGAGTGCACATACAAAGTGTACCTAGTAAAGTTCTCAGTGAGTGTATAGCATACAACAAGGGTGCAAAGCCATTTTGCCTCATTGCATTATAATTCGAAAGTTTTTTGGCCAAAATAGTCAGGCTTTGACAACATAAGGCTTCATATGTTAATTTTCTTGTTAAAAACTTGTTGAGAAATGGAACAGACTGAAACATGATAGTTTTCAGTTACAGGGATTTATTTTCAGTCTTCTGTTAGTAAAATAGTCTCACACCTGGGTGTTGAAATGAATGGAGGCTAAAAGTCAGAGGTTAACTACACTCTCAGACGGTCTGTCCTGCCAAAGTATGAACCAGTATTCATGCAGAAATAACTCTGCCCTAAGAACCTGCCAAGAGCCATTTCTCATTCTTTAGTCTGTAAAGGAATATGATGCTTATTGAATGATTTCACTTCATTATTTTTTGAGGCTTAATTAAATCAAGACTGATTCAGTAGAGAATGTGTTGATCTCTGGTTTCAAGAAATAATTATTATAACTTTCAAACCTATTAAGTTTTGGCATTTTTATATAGTATTTTAAGTGTATGTTTTTTGAACAAAAACCTCAGGGAATCTACATCCATGATTTCTTTGCAATTAGGTTCATTTTGGTCTTTTTGGCACAGAATAGACATGTACAAAGTAGGCCCTATAAATAACCTGTCCCTCCTACAGCTTCTATCAAAACAATGTGTTTCTGTGTGACCTGTCTCACTATGTGTTTTGGTTAATGTTGGTTTTGTGGGCACACGATGTGTACAAAGTAACAAATGAACAGCGGGGTCAACATGTTCCAACAGAATTGTTTCTCTTACAGTGTAATTTAGGTGATACTACTCTTGGGTAAGACTTGCGTAAACTTTATCTTTCCTAAATCGCAAAACTGATGATGCTTGTCTAGGTTTTATCAAAACTATGCATTACGGTCTCACTTTCTTTGAGTCTGAAACCTAGCATGGGAAAGCTGACGTATCAGAAAGTGAGCTTACTGTGATTAATTCTGTCACCATCCATGAAGGCGAGTTATCTGGCAGTGGAACTCTTTTCTCATTCTCCAAATCGCTGTCTGTAGGCTCTTATGTGTGGGATATAATTGTGTGAAATTCTGATGATTGGATTTACCTGTTTTTTTTTGTATTTCTGATGAAAACTTTTTTATTTTTTACATTATATTACTTTTAATTAGTTAATGTATGTAAATTACCCTTATTTTAGAATTTGGGTTAAAATTCCCAATTTAGTATAAATTGGCACTCAGTTGAGAGTCCAAAATGCAGGTAATATAAGGCATAGAGCTTTAGTCAGGCTTAACATTTTGGTCTGGACTCAAACAGCCTGAGAATTCTCTGTCTGAGCCCAACCCAACCTGGCACGCTGTATGCACATTGTTGCTAATGTTTTTAGCATGTCTGATTATGATGAATTCACTGAAGAACCTTAAAGAACTATTGAGGTAGTTTACTGGAACAGGTTGGTAATGATGCACTGTTTTGTGTGTGTTTTAGAGCCTGGTGTGGGGCTGGGAATTGGTGCCTGCTGTTTAACTCTGGAAAACAGCGCTCCTGGAATCTACATTCATAGCCTGGCTCCAGGATCTGTAGCCAAGATGGACGGCAGACTCAGGTGGGTTTGTACTCACAAATAAATTCACTAGCATCTGTTGCGCTTCCTCAGGGTTCATTGCCAACACACAGCTGTTGTTAAGTTGGTGCTCTACAGTTTTAATGAGACAATGGAATTTTAGTCTCAACCAGAATGTTTAAAAAATTGCCTAAATCACAGCTATTCAGATGTAAGTTTGAAGTCCACTTTAACTTATTTATTTATGAATCACCGTCTTGAAATGTCTGAAAAGATTTTTAGGGGCAGATTACTAAAGAGGTGCTACTTACTGCAAAAAAATCTGCACTGGTGGGTTTGGCCGGTTTAAGCCAGTTTTGGTTCAGTCATACTAAACCAAATGTGGAAAAATAAAGTAATAATTCTTCAAAATCAGAGAGCTCAAACATAAGTGAAAATTTGACACAATGCCAGAAATGTGAAAAAATCAACAGGCAGTGTTTTGTTCACCTGGCGGAACAGGTTTCTGCTTTGTTGGACAGGCGTCTCTGAGCAACGACAGTGGCGAGCCATGTCAGTGCCAAAAATACGTTTTTCACAGGCGTTCAACAGAGCACAGTCAGTATTTATTATCAGCCTTGGTAAATCAGAATAGGTCGTTCATTATAATAATCTCCTGCCAGAACTTTGCACTTTGAGAGGGAAATTTCTATATATGTACATTTAATGAGGCAAAAGTGCAAAACAGTAGCCCTTTCATCAAAGCAGTGGCTAAGTAGGAAAGCGCGACAGTCATCTTTTAAGGTTCGTTCTGCCCTCTTGACCTCTCACTGTGAGTGACTGAGTCCAGACTACCAGAGTTAAGACCAGAAAATTGCATATCCTGAAGAAAATTTGCTCAGCTTAAACAATTTCCAGATAATTGCTGAAGTGTTGCCATGCGGTTACTGTGATATTTTAAGTGGTTACTAGGGTGTTGCTAGGTAGTTACCGTGGTATCCTAAGTGGTTGCAATTGGTGTTGCTAGGCAGTTGCAATGATATCCCAGGTGGTTGCTGTGCTGTTCCAGGTGGTTGCTAGGTGGGTGCCATGATATCATAGGATGTTGCTTGGGGGTTGCTAGGTTGTTGCTGTGATATTCTATTTGGTTGCGAGGTTGTTGCTAGGTGGTTGCAACGATGAATTAAGATAATGAAAATGGAAAGGAAAATTATAGCAGGGGTAAAAAGTGGGACTACAAAAACCTTGAATGTTAAATTTGAGCCCAACCTGAGTCTGGCAGATATTTGTGAAGTGATGTGTGAACCGGACCAAATCAGTCAGATTCAGACAAATATTTCATGCTCAATTCTCCACTAAATTGAAAAAAAAATGCTTGCAGCTCTTCCTACAGGCAGCATAAAGTCTTTTGCATGTCTCTTGCTTGTCAGAAAACTAACACCATTATCTCTAATGCTTGGGGGGGGGGGCTTAAGTACCTAATGTAGGCACTTTATTAAGAAAATGTTAGCAATTAGCTGACAGATTGAGTGTGTTAGGATAGAATGGTGCTGGTCTGCACCATGTAGCTTCATTTTGATCTAACAGCTGAACTCTTAGCAGAGTCACTTTGTTTAATTAAGGAAGGGAGAGGCAGGAATGAGTCCCCGCAAGGGAAAACAAGCCAGTGATGTAAATTTTTATGTTCTCTGTAGAGCTCATAACTTTGAGGGCAGTTTATTAGGGCTGTCATGATTACTTGATTTAAAAAATATATTAAATTAAAATGTACATTTTAATGAATGATTTGCTGGAATATGCAAGATAACAATGCATAATTTAAATTCTACTGTTCTGTCTTACAGTAAAAAAAACAGAGCCTGATACATTACATTTGCATGCATATTTGAAACATAACATTTTATAGATTCATAGATTACAGACAGGGTTCCTGCAGATCCTTATAAAGTCTTATAAAATAGATAAAAAAGGTCATAAAATGTCTGAAAATGTATTTTTTACTAATATAGGTATTCAATTCTAAGATGATGCCCAAAGACTGGGTTTAAAAGAGTCATTGTGTATATTAAACTGATTCAGAAGAGTCCACCACCCAAAAACATCCAGTCAACAGAAAAAGACCACTGATGAAGGGCTAGAGGACAATAGAACTGATGAGGTCAAACGTACTGAAGTACATGGAGAAAGCAGTTAGCAGAGCAAGATCTAGGTCTATAGCAAAGTGTCAAATTCAGGCTTCACAATAGATTTTAACAGGAATGAGAACTAGTGATTAAAAAAGCTTTACTCCTCTGTGCTGGTCAGCACAGATACACTTAAACAGTTCAAGTGGCATCGGACCAACAGTAAAAACACTGACTGTGTGGAACTGTCTCACATGGCTTTCATAAGAGTTTCTACGAGGGACGCTGGCAAATGATTTGTAAGCATTGTTTATGCCAAGTATCATGAGTGGTACAACACCAAAGACACGTTTGATACCCCTTACAAACACAACATTCCATTTAATATGCTAGATACAGCAAACAACAACAGCAGAAAGGAAAGTCCCTGCTAGCACGCTGACACCATCATCCATCAGTTTTTCAAATGACAAAAGAATTCACAAATGACAGTGCCAAAGTGCAGAATGCAAAATAAAGGAATTCATTGTCTGGAATGTCCAACCTTTCTCTGTTGTTGAGGACATTGGATTTCATGGCACGTACTGCAGCCTACATACTTTACGAATTTTAGTAAATTTCATCACAAGGTTTTATATTTTTTCCTTGTTTTGGCCCAGTGTGTCCTGAATTTCGTCTTCAGTTTCAGCCAAGGATTCTTGGTGCATCAGTAGTAAATATCCAAATATCCATCTTTTATTGCTTCAGTAAAATCAACATTACTGCTTGACATGTTTACATTTGTGTGCACAATTGAATTAAATAAATTTTTGTATATTTATATAACTGTTTCTCTCTCATATTGAGGTATGTTTGTGTTTTGTTTTGTGTGTTTTAAAGTCAGTGCACGTGTATGCGTGTGTGTGCCCATGCATGCCAAGATGAAACATCTCAAAGGCTCGCTTTTCACTTAACAAGAATGTATAGTTGGTGCCAAAAGCCCATGAATGGGGTCTTTATGGCAGAAGATAGACTCGGGGTTCTGAATGTTGTATCTTGCAGTGAAAGTGTTTGCAGCTGTCAGATAAGAGTGTAATATACACATTCAGTTGTATTTCTTTTGCCTCACCAGATTGAGAGACATTTTAAAATACTGGAAAACTCTGTTTATCTATGTCAAACATTTTGCACACTTGTGGAGTGTTGAGCTTTTTTTTTTATCAGCAAGGGAGACTCTGCGTATGAGGGTGGCCTCAATAAACGTGTATGTGTGTGTTCAGCCGAGGGGACCAGGTGTTGGAGGTGGATTCAGTAAGCTTACGGCATGCTGCACTAAGCGAGGCCTACGCTATCCTGAGCGAATGTGGCCCCGGTCCAGTGAGCCTCATCATAAGCAGACATCCCAACCCTAAGGTATGTGCCGCAGATAAGTGTGTGTGTGTGTGTGTGTGTGTGCGCGTGTGTGTGTGTGTGTGTGTGTGTGTGTGTGTATTCTCTGACTAGCCACTTCTTTAAGTACACCTCGTTTCTACACCCTTTGTCCAACATACACTAACACAGCACCTCCATGTCAGTGTCACTGCAGTGCTGAGAATGATCCACCACCCAAATAATACCTGCTCTGTGAGGGTCCATGGGGGTCCTGACCACTGAAGAACAGGGTAAAAGGGGGTCTAACAAAGTATGCAGAGAAACAGATGGACTACAGTCTGTAATTGTAGAACTATAAAGTGCACCTATATAGTAAGTGGAGCTGATAAAATGGAAGAGTGTAGATATAAAATTTGGTAACAATAGCTTTTAATACAAATGAGCAACATTTCTTTGTTAAATTGCAATAACTTAGTAATAACTCAACATAAAACTGCCTAAGCAGGGTTTTTTATTTGAGGAAAACACTGACCCAAGTAAATACATTATCCCTTTGTTGTGGTTTCAGCACTCAAACCTTTCAGCTCTTTAGTCTACCAAAAGATTTTCAAGATTTGTAAGTATTACCCAAAGTATTAGAAGTATTAGACCAGCTATGGGAGCCTTTAAGTAAAAGTTATTCATTTTTCAGGAGGTGCTTCAGAGAAGTCTTGCAGAGGACTTGCATGAGGAAGTAAAAGTAAAAGGAAAATGGGAAAAACAGGTGTTCAAAGAATTATTACAAGATATAGTTAATATGGGACTCCTAATAACCATGCAGGGCCTGATAGACCACCACAACTGTCACCATCAGATAAACAGTATTTAAAGCTTTCATGTTTAAGACACAAGAGAAGATCAAGCTCCACTCTTGCTTTAGATCTGACAAAAATCCACAGGTGTGGTGAAGACAACTCAACGAGTCTGAAAGGATGTGTAGCTGTCAAGAAGCTTTTACTGAGAAAAGGAAATAGACAAAAAAAAAGTTAAACAAACAAGTTTGTTCTCAGAACAGTGGACTAGACAGCCCTCATTAAATGTGTTTGGGATTGTATGCAACCAACGTGCATGAAATCCCTGCAGATTTCTTTAAAAAACTGAAAGCAGACTTGTAGTTAAGGGCCGTTTTGACTGGAAGTTCATAAATTAAGGGTTGTTTCTGACTTTTGCACACTGTTATATTTATAGTGTATATTCATTTTCTTCTCAGAGTTCAAATATTCAACGTGCATACACGTGTGTTTAACATCTGAACTGGCATGTTTTTGAAAGCATAAGCAACTATAAAGCATTTTAAATCTGAAGAGTTCCACACAGCCATCTCCAAATACTAGAGCAGCAGCAGCCTCAGTCAGTCTGCCCACTTTACCCTTCCCCCTCATTCTGCCATATGAGCAGCAAGCAAAATCAAAAGGTCCCATCCACCTGCTAGCGCTCTAATTATCCCTTAGCATGAATCATTGAAGCCCGCCAAAAAGTAAACAACATTCCTTTCGCTTGTGAGCTGGCGGTTCGGGTTTTCCTCCAGCTAATGAATGAAGATGTTGAGGAACGTGGCGTGCAGTGGGAGGGGTTTGGGGTTTAGTGGTTGGAATATGCTGACTCTTCACTCCTCACTAATTAATGATTGCTAATGCTAATGGAGCGTGAGCTTAACAGTGTGATCCCTGCCTTTAATACTTAGCATGTGACAAGGGGTGGAAAGAGGTCAAGAACCTTGCTCTCTGGGATCATTAATCTCTTGAAACCAGTGGGTAGCCTTCATGATGTACTTGAGGGGATATTTGGTTTTGACAATGTTCCATGAACATTTTATATATAATAGTTCATTCCAACTATGACTGAAAAGAGTTCTATTCATCTGTTAACAGCAGGTTTCTTTGCTGTACTTTTTTACTTATGCGTTGGGGTGGGAGACTGTTTTTATCATTATAGTAAATATCAGTCATGTCAGTATGATTTTCTGAGCGTACAGTTATATGCAAAAGTTTGGACACAAGTTACTTGGTTTTCAAAGTGAAAATAAGCACACATACTCTGCAGAGAACACTCTTCTGCACATTTTAATACATAACATTTGTTTGCTGAATTTAACATATTGGGGAACAAAATGAAACATATAATGTAACCTGTGCAAAAGTTATCTAATTTGTTAAACTGAAAAAAATAGAAACTATGCAGAAAAAATTATATGTAAGTGTGTTCTGTAGTGGATGTGTTCATTTATTTTCACTTAGAAAAACAACAAAATATGTCATTTGAGCAGGGGCGTTAAAACTTCTGCATTCAATCAGTTCTTAAAGGAATGGTTTAGTGAAAAAAAATCTAATTTACACAATTTTCCACTTACTCCAGTTCTGCCCTGTTTGGAGGACAGTACTACTTACTGCAAACTATAAAAAAAAACATTTGGGCTGAAAAACCTTTTCAAAACTATTGTAAACAATGTCTCAGATATCAGACAGGGTATTCATAACTGTTTCATGTAATAACTTGCTGTGAGGGAGCTTTTAGGGGCATTGAAGTATTCAGATGTCTGGTTCCTATCACCACCATTGTGAACAACACTGACTCAGTAAGTTCCTCTAGAACGGAGTGTTTCACATCAAACCGCTCTGAATGACTTTGTTCACATCTTAACTATTTAATGATGCAAAATGTTTTGTGTTTCTCTTTAAACAGCTCAGGGAACCAAGAAAACGTCTTAGTCTAAACTAATATTATGGACAGATTGTTTAGTCAGTATAGCATGTCATGTGTGCTCGCACCTTTAATACATAATCACTTGAGACAAATGTTCGTTTCTTTCTCCGACCTCACTGTTTCTTTGAAATTGGACTCCACCTTATCACAGGCAGGATGTGAAGGCTTAGCTTCACAGTGGGAATATGTACGGATACGTATTTCCCTCAAGGTAGACAAAGAAACCTTTCAGTCTCCATTATATATGACACCTGTTAGCTTGCGGCAGCAATGTTAAAAGTTAGGAGGTGCCATATTATCTGACAGTATATCTCTGCCAGTTATGTAAGACACTAGCTTGACAGAAGCATGTACCCAGATCACATGTCAGAAGTTCCTGTCTGAAGTTTAGTGGTTAGTGTCAGGTTTTAAAGACTTCAAAGACTCGTTCAGAGCTAGAGCTATTAGAAATAATCATTTTCAAATTTTTAAAGAGTTTCCAAACTTTATGTAAACGAGAAGCAAATTGCACTGCATTTTTTACTCAAGTAATTATATTAAGTGAAATTATCTCATTATACTGGCAGAGAATTTGGCTTTTTTAAGGAAATATGCCTAAAGCAAAATTATCTGCCAATATAATGAGATAATTGTGGTACAAAATAACAACAATAACAAGTGAAGTAATGAGTAGAGAGATTACTTTTTCCAGGAAATAATAAGTAACCGTCTGAGAGAAGGCATGGTAATTTGTCATAAATTACTTTGTTGAGTAAATAGCCCAAAAATGTAGCTCTCTAACATTAACGCTAGCCTTTTGTACAGTCTGCTCTGTTATGACCAAACAACGTAGGCTTTGGGAGTGTAGCAACAAACCTTTTGCTTTCCCCCCTCTTTTTGTGTTTCTTTGCTGCACATAGATAACTTTATTGCTTTATTATTCAAAATGATGTAACAGCTTAGAATAGTCCATTATAAGCATGACAGAGAGGTGGGGCTGTATTGAAATTAAACAAAATAATCACTACAATTTCAAATAACAGCTATTTGTAAAATTTATATATATTTTGGAATAGGTTCTTGAACATCAACCCTTACAGTATATCTATGGCCCCCCATGAGCCAAGGGCCACCTTTGCCTAGTTACCTGAGTTAAATCAGGCAAAAAACTAACGTGGAAAAAAAAGTGAAAAATCTCCCACTGGAAAATGGTACAGCAGCCAACCTTTCATCCTTTGCTAGAATTCTTACTGCTTTGTTAGCATATTGTAAAAGTTGCAGTGTTTACATGGAAGTAGTAATTTTATGGTTTTAAAACACAGAGCAGGACTGAAATTGTCATATTTGTTCATATGTGTTCAGTTTTCATGTGGTAGCATAAGTTTATGAAGAAGCCACAACTTAAACGAAGAAAGAATCGGTAAATTGCGACAGTCTTACATTATATATTGCAGTGGTCACCAGCCCTCATCTACCTTCATGCAGGTTTCACCTCCAACCAAAACCTAACACACTTCCTACAGCTATTCAAGCAATTACCTGAAGGCAAAAATTAGATGAATCAGTTGGGGTCTATTAGAGTCGGAGCTGAAGTCTGCAGGAAGGTACATCCCCAGGAGCAGGGTTGATGTTGATTGATACATAGTATGTGTAGTGCCACCTGGTGGCAGCAGTCTTCAGTAAGCTGTTCTCTTTTAAGGGGGTGTTTTAAACAAAGTATGCTGTGGTAAACAAATTAAACAGTTTTAAGTGGCTTACTCTCAAACCCTCAATATGAAAAGGTCCCCTTGTATTCTGTTTCTTTCATCCTTGCCAAATTTTGCCTTTTTTAGTAGCTAACTTCAGTAGAGCATCTTTTCTCACTTGTTTTTGTACATGGCCCCTGACAAATGAAATATTATAAACTACAACTGAACTAAACTGTATTTGTCAGGTGTCGGAGCAGGAGATGGACGAGGTGATCACTCGCTCTACACACAGAGACAGTGTAGGCAGGGACAGCCATTCCTCTCACACACTGGGTAAGCTGTACCTGATTCCATCATTCCTGAACCACAAGGAACTGTATTGCTAGGTAAATAATGGAATTCCACTATGAACTCCAAAATGAGCCCTATGCCCAGTGCGGTTTTGAGAAAATTTGATACTTTTTTTTGGTTCACATTCTTTTGATGGACTCTTTTTCTAAATTACAGCCAACCATAACTGCAAATCACATGGGTGAATTGGAGCTCATTATTGTGTGCTTTTTCTGTCCAGGCCTGCCGTCCAAGAGCCCTTCTCCCACTGTGAAGGCCAGGCAGGGAGACGGCAACCAGGCGCTCAGCTGGACCATGAAGAGGTTCTTAGAGCCAGCCAGTCGGGTAAACAACGAGCTCACACACCAATACAGTAAACAAAGCCGCTAAGGCTAGTTTAAATCAAAATCATCTCTTAAAAATCAGTTATTTCTTTAAATCAAAACAAAAAAAGTCAGAAGCAAAACTATTGAAAGGGAATGTAAATGTAATTGATTACACAATTCAGCCTTTGATTATATTTAAATAATTATGTCAATCAAATGGGTTTGATTTAAAATGATAACTCTAGAAATCACAATAATAAGTCCACAATAATAACTCTCCAACAATTACTCCAGATTTCTAAGCATAAATAATTGCCAATGCCTCAGTGACCACTTATGTCTCCGCTTCAGGCAGTGACCATTATAGCCTTTAATTCGCCTCTTTTCTCCCTGCAGCAAGGTTCCCTAAGTTCTGAGGCTGAGCTATCGCAGTACTTCTCCCATGACGTTCCAAGCCAGTCCTCCCTCTCAGAAACCATGGCAATGGGCTCCAGCGACGACGACATGCTTCACAACAGCAGGAGCTGCAATACCTCACTGGATGAGCCAACTGCACCTCATTCTCGTGGTAATCAGGATCACTATTTAAGTAGGAGGAATTTGTCAAACACAAAAATTAATAATTAGAAATAAACACATCCACAAAATACACAGTGTTCCCTCAAAATTTCAACACTTTAACCATATAACCATTGGTAAATGTTAATGAAGTTCTTTAGGTTACTTTATAAAATGTTTAACAAAATGATATTTGTTTCAGAGAAAAAAATACTTTTGGCAGAAAATCAAATTAATGCTAGACTCTTTGTGTGGAGAAGGCTTGGAGAAGAATTCCAGCCTCCCAGACTTCACTAAGAGCACTGTAAAGAGTAATGGTGGAAACATCCAGGGCTGTTTTTTTTCTTACAGGGGTGGTGAGCTTGTGTTCATTGAGGAGTTCACAAACAGAGAAGTGTACAAATACGTTTTGGATGCAAACCTGCAGAAGTCCGCAGAGAAACTGTTCAAACGATAACAGTCTGAAACACATCAGCTTCCTTTTGAAAGAACACTTAAAAAAGATTACAGTATTGAGATGGACTGTTGAAAGTAAATGCCACTTGGTTTGACCATTTGTTTACTAACACAATTACTTTAATACATTCTCAAATACTTTTTGGGGCCACTGTACAGACAATGGAGTCCAAAAGTCTGAGACCACTTTGAAAATCTGGGTCCTTTTCCATTTAAACCTGGAAATAGACAACAGAAAGTTTTAGAATTTTGAAAGATGTAAAAAGTTGTGACAAGTAAAATGAAGAAGAAAAATCTCAAATGTAACTTTGTAAAAATTCTACTTTTCAATGCAGAGTTATGATAATAATATAATTTTTGAAAACATTTATATTAAATGAGAAAAGAATGCAAAATATACGCATTTTCATTAGTGGTCTCAGACTTTTGGACCCCACTGTATATCCAGAATGTAAACTAATTGTGTGTGGCATTTACAGCAATGTAGAGTGTGTGTGTACATGATTGTATATGTTGTGTGTATCTGTATCGCACAAAATTGCAGTGATTCTATTAAAGAAGAGAGAAGAGATCAGTGGTTCCCAACCCTGATCCTGGAGTACCGATGTACTGCGTATTTTACTGTTTTCTCTGTACACTTGATCCAGCTAATCAGCTAATTAACAAGCCCTTCCTTGAGTTGAAAATGGTGAATTAGAGGAGCACTTAAATGTGCCGAGCACAATCAGGACCACAATTGGGAACCTCTGGAATAGATTAATGGATGCTTCTGCACGTTAAAAAAAGAGACTTCTTGCAAACTATGAAAAGCATGAGTCAGGATTCCTATGAAAATGCAAATGAAATAGTGTAAAAGAAGAGTTCAGAGCTCAGTAGTGAAGCTTAGAAACATTGTGTTTCACTGGAAAGAAGCTTCAAAGCTCTCATAGTCTTTACTGTCTTCTTATTCCTACAGCCTATAAAGATGCTGATGGTAATCCTTCATATGGAGACGGTTGTAAATCTTCTGGCGCTGTTAGCCGAACCACATCAGACCTGACCCGGCAGGCCAGTGTAGGCAGCAGCCCCAGCTCTGTCCGCAGCCCCCTCCTACGGCAGCGTCGGGTCATATGCTATGAAGATGAACCCAGTGACGAGGAACTTGGTCCAGATGAGGATGCGGGACCCTTCCGGCAGCTGCACCGCGGCATACCAGATGGCACCCGCCATCACCACCACCACCAGGAGGACGACTCAGGCATAGTCATGGCCACCTCGTCGACGGAAGTGGATGATGAGAGTCAGGACAGCAGTGAGGGTCACAGGCACAGTGAACCAGCCACTCCGCCCTACGGCAGCTCACTGGAGTCAGAGGAAGGTGCGGGCGGTCCATCTGGTGCTGAGTCACCGTTCATGCCCATTCGCTGCTTCGAGCACAGCACTGGAGGAGGTGGAGCCAACCTGGGTGTGAAGAAGGAGCCATATCGAGAAGGGCAGGAGTCCAAGCGCTCACCTAAGCTGGAGCACAAAGCCGTGACCCGTGTCAAGAGCATGATGAGCATCGAGTGCCCCAACGTGCCGCAGAAGACCAAAGGTGAGGAGACCACTACAGCAACGGCCTCCCCTGCTCAGGCTGCACAATGCAGCACACGGACCCCCAGCAGACCCCAGCACCACTGCAGGAGGGGAGAGCCCAGTGAGCTGGCAGGGATCTGCACTATTGAGACTGTGGTTCTGAAGCGCAGTGAGACAGAGTCTTTTGGACTGGACCTGGAGATCAAGTCGTCGCCTCTGAAAGTGCTGATCACTGGACTGAGGCCTGGAGGCGCTGCTGAGAGGGTAAGCATGGTCACTGAAGGAGAGGGAGCTTCATGTGCTGTTTGACCTTGACAATTCAAATTCAGCAAATACAATTTCTTTACTTGATCACATAATTCTGATTTACTTCTGACATTTGCAAACACAAAAATGTGACTTTGTTTTTTCAAAGTACTTTTGAGCCACTTTCATATGTAGTCCTAGACCAAATATGTTTTTGTACAGGTCACGTGACCATAATGTATGAACAGTTGTTACATTTGCAGTTAAAGCACATCAATTTACCATTTTAATAATTTACTATTTTAATATTTATCCATGATGTGTTGAGAAAAGCAATTTTATGCATTTATGCATGTAATTACAGATTGTAGTTTATGTGTTTCTCTGCATAATTTGTTAGACCTCATTCATCATGGACTCCCACAGGACCACCACAGAGCAGGTATTATATGGGTGGCGGATCACTCTCAACACTACAGTAACACTGACACAATAGTTGCATGTTAGTGGGTGTTGCTGCTGGGTGACAAGTGCTTCCATCGCTGCTTTATTAAAAACAATGGAATATCTGGTTTCCTATCGTCTGTCTACCACTAACTTGTAAACACAGCATGACTGTCCATGCCTACATGCTAGTCCACCTTGTAGATGTAAAGTTAGAGACGATAACTCATCTGTTGATGCTCAATTTTTGTCAGTTGTCCTCTAGTATCTCATCAGTGGTCAGTGGTCAGCTGACTGGATATCTTTGGTTTTTGGACTATTCTCAGTCCAGCAGTGGTCCACCACCCAAATTACACCTGCACAGTGGTGGTCCTGACTACTAATGAACAGGGAAATGGTGAAACAGATGGACTACAAGTTGTAATTGTTGACCTAAAAATGCCCCATATAGTAAGTGGACCTGATCAAATCGATAATGAGTGTAGATACAAGGTAGGTGCACCTAGTCAAGTGGCCAGTGAATTTAGCCAATGCCTGCTCTAAAAGAATGCAACTAATGACATCAAAATTGTGTCAAGATATCTTCAGATTTTTTTCTGACAAAGACAAAATCAAAGTAAAGCCTTTAAATTAGCAAAATGAACTGATGCCACTCATATTACATCAATAATTTATTTGCTTGGAGTAGCTACCACATGTTTTTTATGAGACAAAACAGTTCGTACACAAAACCTGTGAAATGGTTTAACTCTGTGCAACACTTTAATGCCCAGTGTTCAATGACATTCAGTCAGATTTGGAAATATACTTTTAAAACTACTGTAAACTCCAGCCATCCAACCCAACATAAATAACCAGTTTAACTCTGATTAGCAATGTTAAACAATGTTAGCTGGCTAGACAGTAACTAGACTCGGTTGAGTCTAGAAAATAAATCAGACAAGACCGTTGGCCATGACTTAACACAAAGTCATTTTTCTCAGTTTAAATCTGTTTTTTAACGGATACTTGTGAATGCGAAAATCTACAATTTATTGTTGTTATTTTATAGAATAAAAAATAATAATAAAACAGTGTCAAAAACACAAAACAGTGCTACAAACTTCACAACTAAGTAAATAACAGAGCATCTTCAGTTTGTTTCCTATTAACACTGCTTCTTAATGACAGATGAACTACAATCTTGTTTCTTTCCATTAGGAAGCCAGAGGGAGAATGAGTGTGGGAGATGAAATCGTAGCCATTGGTGACACTCCAGTGTGCACCTCGTCTTATCAGGAGATCTGTGACCTCATGCATAACCTGCCCGTCATTCTGACGTTAGAGATTAAGAAGCCTGTCTCAGGTGAGCAGCTGCTCACAATGCTTTTGTCACCTAAACTTGGGTGACTGTTTTTTATTAAGTAACAGTGATGGACTTGTCCCTTTTCCATGTGCCTTTTTAAATGTGGAAAATTCACCTTTTGACTTATACCATACTAACTGCAGAACTAGACTGATTTAAATTCAGCTCTGGCTCAGTTAGAAAAGTAATACTTGATCAAGTACACATGCCAAGTGTATTAATGAGTGGCAGTCAGAATTTGTGTTATGTATAGTCTCAAGCTGCTATAGATGGCTGCTTTCTCCACCCTCTTAAGAGACTGTGGTGCTCCACTGGCTCTCTAAACTCTACAAATACTAACATGGTAATTTAACATGGGACTGTTAAGACATACAGTAGATGCCAATGGCCTACAGTCTTTGTCACTGTAAATTCTAATAAAGACAACAGTCTGTCTTTCCCCTTGCTGCCTTAAAGATGTAGGAGCACAACAGGCTTTTCCTTACTGGCAGTACCCCTCTCCATCGCAAAGGGAACTGCAAACAGCTGGCTTTGTATCCATGGTGACTATTGATTAATTTACTACCATAGTGATCATAGATTTGTAGTAGTGCAGTAGTTTGGTTCAGTAGTGCTATGCCTAGCTTTGGCGTAGTAAGTAGTTGGTAGGTTTTTTAAAAGCATGTTGTAGGAAGCATCCATGTTACTGATGTCATTCAAACCTTAAACCCTCTAAGTCACACTGTATTTTTTATTTTAACAAAATATCCACAGTAGAATGCTGTTTTGCAATTTGTCTGTTTGTCCCTGTCTGTAGTATTACCCCCTTTTTGTATGTATACTTTCATACATACATTGTCCATCATATGCTTTAATAGTTCATGCATACATCCTAATGCATGTTACAATGGAAACAGTAGTTAGAATAGCATTCTTGCCATTACAGTATATAAAAAGTTGTCAGAATTATTCATGTGTTGCATCTGTATTTGTTTCTCTATTTAGCACTAGGATGCTGCATTCTTTTTTAAGCCACAAGAGATGGAGCCTAAACTAAGGCTGTTAGATAGAACAGTGATTGTTACTAAATGTAAAAGGTTAAAAATAAACACATTTTAGCTGGCTTAGTTGCATGCATCATAAACTAACGGCAGGCATCTACATCACTTGGCCTCAGAGTGTAACCACATGCACTATGTTAAATCGTGTGTGGAAGCACTAAATTATTAGGCAATAAGAAAAATGCTCTGTGCAGAATTTACAATAATAGGTTGTACACCGTGGAGGCACGACAAGTTTGATTAATCATCTGATAGAATTGAGTGATATTTATTCGAGTACCACTTGGCATTCTGCATGCCTTACTAGGTGTGACACATCAGAAGCCTGTAAGTAAAGTGCAAGCGACCATGAATCTCATCACCCTCACCTAACCACTTAAGGTGGAAAAAAACAGCTTTTCTGGTCTTTTCTTCTTTAGTTACAGAAGATTTGAAACTTGATAGCAAAAACAGCAGACCTGTTTAATCATTACCACATATATTTATAACAAGTGCGACAGTGAAGAGTTTCCTCCACACACTGTTAGTACAGCACTAGGGCTGCAGGGCAACAAGAGCACAACAATTGAGTGAATTCTTGTTTTAAATATAGTTCAGAACATTGCTGCCACCTACTGGAAATATTTTGCGGTAATAAACATGCTTGAAATTATGGTGAACCCCATAAAAAGCCAGGACCCACCAGCAGGTCCAACGTTTTACTACACAGTTCTATAACCTAAGAATATCTCAGCCGGTTTCTAATATAGTCCATGTAGTTGAATAGTAGAATGTAGCTGAATAATAAGCCTTGATATTTAAGAATCCAAGGATTTTAAGGGTTTAATATGAAACATAAATATAATTATTTTTAAGGGTGGTTTTCAGAGCATTCAGGTACTCGCTCAGAAATACCAAGTATTTGAAGCCTGTAAAATACTTTTTGGGCCAGCCCTATAAAAAGGATATTGTTGTTGTTATAATCCATTATATTTTTGTGGACTGTTTGTAGGGGTGATTCTTAGTCTTATTCACTATAATATATTTTTCATTCAACTCTAACATACTGCATATGTGAGAAGAGCACTACTCTTTATATATATATGCTTTATGATGTAACTTCTGGAAATGACCCTGGAGTTCAGAGACATATGTTGTCAGTGAAGTAGAGGAAATGCTGTTAGAATGTGAACTGCCCCCAGTAAACTGTTTTTGACATTATATGAGGCACTGCGTACACCACGTTGGGTATATTGGCTATGTCATGATGTTGCAGACCTTGGGAATATAACTGAAGATTGTGAGAGTTGGGACTACTATTGCCTCAGTGAAGTGTATGAACGGTAGAATCTTTTGAGAAATGAGCAGCAGGTACAGCTGTGTGTCACACTGTGGTATAGACTGCAGGAGCTCTGGATTAGGGTCAACTTTACGGAACGTGTAATTTGATATATGAGGTCTGAAGGTATTTTCTGGAAAATGAAAAAAAGGAAAGATCAGTGTTTTTCCCCCAAAGGAATGTTGATTCATTATACAGGCAGTGTGTCAGACTGTGAATTAAATGGTGAGTTGAGGAGAGATGAATGATTTAAGAGATAATACAATACAGTGAGACATTTTTTTTCTTTATAGTAAAAGTTTTATATACATTACTGTGCAAAAGTGCAGGAGATCTTTCTGAGGAGAGTAAAGGTAAGATAATCAAACTGAACCTAAGGTAAAAGTCAAAGAAATATAAGTGGAAAAAACAGGCATTAGCAATACTGGAGTTAGAAATTATTAAAAGATATAGAGAAAATAGGACTCCTAGCAACCGTGCAAGACCTGATAGACCACCAAAACTGTCACCATCACATAAACAGGAGTTAAAGCTTTCATCTCTGAGATTTCATCTCTGTCAGTCTTCACTTTTTGTCAGATCTGAAAGTCCACAGTTGTTTCTGTCCATCCAAAAGGAGGAGTAGCTGTCAAGAAGCTGTTACTGAGAAAAGGAAATAGATGAAAAAGCAGAAGGATTACAAATCAAACAAAGAAGCTGCTGGTGTTTTCAGAACAATGGACTGGTTACAGCAGAGCCCGGAGTTCAGGATCATTGAACATGTTTGCAATATGTTTTCTGTTTTTTTCTGATGCTGAAAAGTGAATAACTTTTACTTAATGGCTGGTTTTAGTTGGAAATTAAATAAATGAAAGGTGCTTTCTGACTTTTGCACAGTACTGTATATAATCCAGATAACTGTTACTGTCTTACGATGAACCCTAAAGGCTTCAATAAAATAATATTCTCTAATCCTTTCATACTTTTTCTTTTCTGCAGCTGTAGATCGACTCTCCAGTTTAATGATGTCATCAGGCTGTGAACAGTCTACTAAGATGGAGGTATCTAGATCTGCCCTGGAGGAGAAAACCAGTATGGACAAAACAGCAGCTGCAAACGTAGAAAGTTCTTCAGAAACAGATTCTAAAAAGGTGGATGCAACCACCGCAAATGAGGTGCCTGTCACTAATATTGATGACGTTATAACCGAGCTGAACTCATTTGAAAATAATGTGAACTCAGAAACACAGACTGTTCCAGAAGTCATTGAGACGACTGCATGTCCAATAGAGAGCAGCGACCTAAAGAATGAGGAGGCTACGACTACCATTCCACTACGACCAAAACTTTTAGATTTCTCTGTCTTAGATTCAGAAAACAAAGGTTGTCTTTTGCCAGTAGGGAAGACATTTCTGAACAGTTACTCCAGGAACTACAGTCAACTCTCAAATGATGACCCGACCCTTTCTGTGAAAGGGTGTGCAGAGAAAGCAAGTATGTATGATATGTTGGACGATAGTGACTCTGAAAGTGACTCAGCCACAGATAGTGCTGTGAAAACTGAAAAGCCAAAAGATCACTGTCAAGACCCTCAGGACACTGACTCTGATGAGGAGATTGAGCTGTGTTATAGTACGGTTGAGTCAAGTCAAGAAAAAGACAGTCCTGTGTCTCCTAAAGAGGATATCTCATGCAGCCAGACTGATGAAGTGATTCCTCAAGACGTTCTGCAAAAAAACTCTTGTCCATCTTTACAGGACATGGACTCAAAGCCAGTAAATGATTCTGTTTCCCTGACTTTGCTTCAGGGACCACTCTGTCCCCAGTCGTCAGGTTCAGAGTCAGCTCTGAACGAGGATACTAAGCAAGTTCCTGAAAAGGACGAGGCAATCTGTGGGACTTTGTCAAGCCCAGAGCCATCAGACTGTAAAGCTGATGAGAAATGTGAAAAGGCGTTGGCACCTGTCACAACCAGCCAGACACCATCAAGTGTCAACAGTCTCCCTGCAGCATTAAATAACCGCCATGTCACCCCTCGGAGTCAAGAAAGGACATCTAAGATGCAGTCAAATTCATTACTGACCTCAGATAAACCCAACCCTGTCCAAATGCCACTCACTCAAACTGTACCAGAGCCCAAGGCTTCAAATTATTCCAATGGCAAATCCAGCGGGAGAACATCCACTACAGTGACTACAAAAGAGAAAGAGAAAACTTTTTCTAGCTCTGACTCCAAATCTCTTCTTTCCCAGTCTCAGACTAAATCCACCACTAACTCTCTTCGACCTTTGGGACACAAGTCCTTGAGCGATAACCCTGTCTCACCTCTATTAAATAGCAGGCTCAAACAAGAAGAGAAGAAATTGAGCACATCTGCCAAGCTTAAAGGTTTAAGTATTAAAAGTAAATGCAAAGGACAGGAGCAGCCAGTCTGTAGGCCAGCCAGGGCTGAAAGTCCTTTGCCAAAAAAAGCCCATTCCTCCCCCATTCAGTCCCCCAAACTAGCAGCCAAAAGAATTACCCCTACAAACAGTCCAAAAATGACTAGACCCCTGGAGAAGAGTAGTCCTTCATCCATTAAAACAAGCCAAGAGAGAAGTGCTTCAAGTGTTCCTGCTTTGAAGACAAATGACAATATCCATGAAGAACTTGTTTCTGAAATAGAGAAAGAAAATTCTTGCTTAAATCAAAATGAAATTGTATCTAAATGCCTAAATGCCACAACTACACAAAGAACCTTCATTGAGGTGCGGCTCTCGTCATCTTCCTCCCCGTCCTCTTCTTCGTCCACACCAGTTCTGGAGCGCAAGGAAATTTCAAACACTAGTCATTCAAACCAAGCTCAGGGAACCCCTCCAGTTCTCAAAGATAACATATTGTGTGAGGAGTTAACACCAAAACCTTCTTTTGAAGCTCATATGTCATCAGAGTCTTCTGTATCTAGACCAGAGCAAAACAATTGCATTGGAAGTCCAGCTAAATCTTCTGATAAAGTAGCTAACAATATGAGCAAGGTAGACAATAGCCTCAGGAACGCATCCATTGTAGAAACGTCTTCTAGCCCTAAACCAGGAAGATCTAAGCTTTACGCTGGACTGGGCCGAAGGAGCTACTCCACAGATACTAGTGGAGGAGCTCTTGACCCCAATCCCTTTTCTGTCAGGCAAAGAATAAAGTCCTTTGAGAACTTGGCCAGCTTTGATCGTCCAGTTATAAGGAACATAGACATCCAGTCTTATGGTATTAGCTATAAGGCTCCCCTCAACAGGAGATTGTCTGGTTATATGGGCTCTCAGTCTAATGACAGCCGCTCGTTGAAAAGGAGCCTCAGCTCTTGTGTAGACAATTTGAATTTGGGACCTTCTTCGTCTCCACAGCCGCAGAATCCCTCTACTAATGGGGTTCTGAACAACTTTGAGCCAACATCTTCAGCTGTGCCACTTGTAGAAGAGAGGGAAGCTGAAGATGCTGTGCCTCAAGCCAATCTAGTCCCACATACTCCACCAGTGCTGCGCTCCCGGAATGCCCGCTCCCATGGCGGGTTATCACGGTCAAGACTAAGGGAACTAAGGGCACTTAGTATGCCTGAGCTTGACAAGTTATGTCCTGAGGACTTCTCACGTGACCCCGGCAATGTCACATTTAAGACAGAGCTGGAAATCCACCCTATAAAGCCTTCAGATCCACCATCGGACCTTCAGTGTACTGTGGTGACCAGGGTGAGCATGGTGGAACCTGGAACCCCTGGCTCAGTTGGCAATGGGGACCTCAGTCAAGAGCAAACAACACTGTCAACCTGGTGTGTCAGGTGAGGAGCAGTTAGTTCAGTGCATTAATTTACCTTGTTATTTTCTGAATTGAACCTTCAGTTGTATGCAAAAGTTTGGGCGACAAAAAAAAAAACACAAAACGTGTTTTGTGCAGAAGTTAAGGCACATTTTGTATTGTATGTTTTATTTTCTATTTTATCTCTGTGCTATGTAAATTTGGGGTTTGGAGACCTCTCTGGTGGAAATGTGTAATGGCTGAGTGGTGAGTGGGTCGTGAGGAAGCTGGATCAATGTATATTTGTTTTTCCACAAGAGCAGAGCTGACGACACACAGTAGATCATAAGTGGTGACCATTGCATACGCAACTGGCACTGCAGCAGTCGATACTTATCCCATCATTTGTCTGAGTGAATAATGACAAAGTGACGCGCAGTCAACTCACTCAAACTAGAAACATGGATTCCAGTTTGTCACTCGTGGCTGATTTGCTGCCTAGTTGCTTCTGTCTGTTCTGTCTGGTCTGGTTTAACTCTGAATATCACAGTGATATGTTTCCAACAGTAGTTATCAGTTAGAAAAAAGAAAAAAAATCAGTCTTGGTTCTTCTCAAGGTTTCTTCCGCTTGCTCTTAGGGCAGTGGTCTCCAACCTTGGTACTGGAGATGTGTCTACCTGCAGAGCCTATTTCCAACCACAGTTTCCACACCTGAGCTAATTAACCTCTTCTCAAGTCCCTGATTGGCTAGATTAGTTGTATTAGAGTTAAGTAAGGGGCGGGGCAGCTAATTGGATACAGGTTGCAACTAATCTCTGCAGGAAGGTAGCTCTCCAGGACCAGGATGGAGATGTCTCTGATGGAAAAGTAATTGCACACAATGTACAGAAGAACATTTTGTAACTTTGGTTGTGCTTTGAAATCTGATTGTTGTGAGCGCATTTTCAAAGAGAACTCAAAACTTTGGGAAGGATACATCTTCACTGTCATCATATCATCCTCACTATGATGTTGATTTTGCCTTTAAGACCTAAACATCAAGCCATATCTTTATGAGCCTGTGCATGTGACATTAATACATAAAGATGCATTACAAGGTCCAAAAAATGTATGGCATGATCCAAAAAACGAAGGCAGACTTGAGGCCTCTGACTGTTAAATTACTGTTTCAGGCTTTAAAGGGTAACTCGCACCAGTGCAAGCACACGCAGGCAGCTACTTATTTCAGTTTTAACAAAAAAATCTGTCAAAAAAAAAGAAATTGTGCACTAACATTTGCAGAAAATTTCCATATTCAAGTTTGTTCCCTGTAGAGGATGCATTAACTTATTTTTACTTCTTAAAAAAAATCAACAAAATGTCATTTGACCAGGGGTGTTCAAATTTTGGCATACAATTGTATATGTGGGTCCAGACATGAAGTATTTTGGGAACCCCTGCATTGGAAGACCCACATAAACTACAGTTATCATCTGATTAATGTGACCTCATTAGGATGACTCATCAAAGTAGCCTTTTAGCATATTTTTCTAAAAAATGAAAGATTTGTGATGGGTATGTGATTTAGGTAGTTGATTTTATACTTCACTACTGATGTTTTTCATCTCATTCTGCAGTTTTTCATTTTGTGAGGATTGTAGTCAGCAACATTATGACTGACTCGCACTCGCCTTTCTTCACAGTCTGCAAGATTTGTCATCTTCTCCATCGGAACAGAAAAGGGTACAGAATGTCCTAAATTCTGCAGCGGCTAAAGTGGACATGATGGCACTGATGGAGGAGTTTAACAGTGTTTCAGAGGTAATGCTGTGTGTGAGAGGTAATCCAAGACACAATAGATTCTGCAGTGTTCTAGCAGGCCTATCAAGGGCTTGGAAAAAAAAATACGGTACTTTACTACATATCTTTTCATCTTAAATTATACTTTTACTGTCAACATGATCAAAAGCTCCCTTGTGGAAAGCCAGTACTTTGATCTCAAGAGTGGCATGATCACGCGCAGCCTATCTGACAACTGCTGCTTCCCTCTACAGTGCAGGGAAGATGTGTTTTTAGGCACAACAAGAGCATTTAAGATACAGACATCACCTTGCTCATGTAATTTATACAACTGGCTTATTTTCTTTGCCATTCTGTGTGTTTACATGCCATTTTTTAACACTTTTCATTCCCAGTACTCCCAGTATAATTGAACATTTTACGGTTTGAATGCTTATTTTGTTTTCCTCTTAGAAATATATAGGAGAGATGTGTCATTGTGGCTTTTGCTAGAGAAAGTTAACATATCTTCTTTTTTTCATTCTATTTTAAGGTTAAAGAGGATGTGTACTTTGTGGTCCTGGCGAAAGAAGAAGGCTCTGGATTGGGCTTCAGCATTGCTGGAGGGGTGGATTTGGAGCAGAAATCAATAACTGTAAACTTGGCTAGCTGTTTTTCTCCTTATTACGCTAAATTGCCTTTTTAGTGTTATCATACTGTCATATCAAAACCTCATAACTCCATTTTGTTCATTTTTATATGGTTTTCAACGCATGTTAAACAAGATTAGCATTAGGTTTTGTTACGACAGTCACAATATACAGTTGTATGCAAAGGTTTGGGTACACATGGTCAAATTAGCTGGTTTGTTGATTTTCTAAGTGAAAGAAAGTTACTACATCCTCTACAGAGAACACATTTATTCATTTTAATGCAGTTACTGTTTATGTGCTGAATTTAAGATATTGTGGGGGAGAACATAAAATGTGGCTTATGCACAAGTTATGGCACATTTTATTGTTTTGGCCCAATATGTTAAACTCAGCAAGTAAATAGAAATTGTGCATGAAAATTTTCAGACAAATGCCATATTTGCCAACAAAAGTTTTTTCCCTGTAGAGTAGTGGTCACAAACATTCTTCCTGGTGATCTACTTTTCTGCAGAGTTTAGTTCCAGTCTGCATCTAACACACTGCCCCTCCCCTTACAGCACATTATTGCATCTGATCATACCACTCAGAAAGTTCTGAAGAAGTTAATTAGCTGGAGCTCGTTTGACAGATTGTGGTAGGAACTAGATTCCACGAGGAGGAGCTCAATCTCCAGGACCAGGGTGGTGACCACTGCTGTAGAGGATTAGTTATATTCAAAATCAATAATACATGCAATTTCACCAGGTTTATTTGCCTACAACTGTATTTGTAATATGCAGTAAGTCTAAACCCACTGCTCAGATGACAAGTATAATCAGTTATGTGTGGAAATGATCTGTGCTTTATCAAATTTTTTAATCTTTTTGTCACCCCCTTGTGGTTGGCATAGGAACTTCTCTCTCAGTTAAGACTCAAAAGTTCCATTCTGAATCTTACGCAGTGAACAAAAAACATTTTGAACAGGATCACCCAAACTGCTTACTTTTGGTAGGTTCATCGAGTCTTCACTCGAGGGGCCGCTGGAATGGAAGGCACCATTCGCCGGGGGGATGCTGTGTTATCCATAAATGGGAGCAGTCTAAGTGGGACCACCCATGGGGAGGCTCTCTCCTGTCTACATCAGACCAGGCTGCTCAAACAGGCTCTTGTGGTCATCCAAAGAGGAAAAGACAGTGAACCTTTATCACCAAGGCATGAAGTTTCCTCACAGCTTGGAACTTGCACTTCCCCAGCCTATCAGGAAAATAGCAGAGAGAACGGGACAGGTAACATCTGCAATCATGGATTTGTTTCTAATTGTAGAAGACAGATGAAGGGTCAGCCTACATGTGAAAGTTCTAAAGTTAGTTGTCTTTTGAATTTCAAAGCCCTGTTGGTGTTAATAAAAAGGTAGTAAGTTGGATATTTAAGCTTTGAATTAATAAATCCATTAGCATGCTTTTTTGGGTTGTTGCCTGTGCTGATTGCTTGTTTGGCTGTTATAGTTGTGGAAGTTGGGCCTGATGGAGCCTTAAGCGTAGAGCTACAGAAGACTGCAGCAGGTCTGGGATTCAGCCTAGAGGGCGGCAAAGCGTCAGTCCAAGGAGATCGACCACTCTACGTCAAGCGCATTTTCAGAGGTAACATTTTTCTCCACTAGAGGGAGACATTGTTATCCAAAAGGTTTGTAAACAGAACTTAATGTAGGGGTGGCCAGTTGCAGTCCTGGAAGACCGGCGTCCAAAACAGTTTGGTGATTTTTCTGTTCAAACACACCTACTAAACCTGGTAACTAACTGCTGTACTGTAGTTCAGCTGAACAAATGCTGTTAACAGTCAAGGTCCTTGCTTGAAAATATGCAAACCTATAGCCTACAAACATATACAAAAGTTTGAACGCCTCTGTCAAATTACGTTATTGATTTGTTTGAAATAAGTTAACACATCCTCTGAAGAAAACAAACATAAATATGACATTTTTCTGCAAATTACAGATGAACAGTAATGAACAGTAATCATGCACTGAAATGTGTTCTCTGTGGAGGATGTGTTTACTTACTTTCACTTAGAAAATCAACAAAACAAGTCATGTGACCAGGGTCACCCAAACATGTTTGCATACGACTGCGTTTAGCTAGTGTAACTTTCTTTTATTGGTAGTAAGATTGTCCGTTATAGGGTTGTCGTACTCAATTAAACACTGTTCCTTGGTATTTATTTATTTATGTATGTATGTATGTATGTGTGTATAGTAATTGATTAAAATTGACCTTCTCAATGAATCTGCAATGATTAGCTGGAATTTACGATTGATATATTTGAAATTCTCTTACAGGACTCTCACAGTAATAAACAGATCCAGAATGGGAACCCATTTGTATGCCTTTTTTTGCCACATAATGTTTTTATTTACACTAGTGTTCAAAAGATTGCAGTCACTGTCTTGACCAATATAAAACATGCGTATATAAACATATAAATGTACGGACACACACACACACACACACACACACATATGTATATATGTATGTGTGTGTGTGTGTGTGCACTCATATAAAATGATTTCATTACTATGCTACTACTACTCTACTACGTTATATATTTCAACTACTTTGATGAAATAAAATTAAGAAACTTTAGATGTGTCAAAAATGATGAACAGAGCTGTAGATAACATTTTAGTTTATGTATATTTCAATGATGTCATTTCAAAGGCTTCCTAGTTTACCTTTGTCCAATAAACTGAACCTTTTAAAGGCTCTGTATGATTAATTATTGTTCAGATTTATTGATTTGGCCACTTTTTAAACTTTGGTTAATCAATTAATCATGAAAAATAACCAGTAGATTACTAGATTACAAATTTAATCAAATATCAGCCCTAATTGAAAATAATGACTTTCAGGAGGGCATAGTGAATGCACTGTTAAAATGCATACTGAAAGTTTGTAGACATCTGCTCATCCAGTGTTTCCTTTGAAATCAAGGGTATTAATAGGTAATTTGTCCCCAACTTAACTGGACTAACAGTAACTCTCTACTCTTCTGGGAAGGCATTACACTGTATGTTGGAATTTGATTGCATTCAGCCACAAGAACTTTAGTGAAATCAGATTTGTTTTGTTTGACAAGCGCCACTCAAACTAATCACAAATGTATTGGATGAAGCTACAACACTTCAGAGAACTCAGTTCCACTGCTCCACAGCCCAATGCAGGAGGACTTTATACCCCTCTAACCCATTCTATTGATCAGAGCTTTTCTAAGGAGATTATACAAGCCGTGTGAGTGCAGTTGAACACCTGTCAGGGATTTTGAAGGAGTATCTGGATATTTTTGGACTTATACTGTGTGTCATCAGTGGCAATTTCATTATGAGTTGTATTCATTTGCACAGCTGTGGGTTGTGGCTGTGCTTTTACTGGTAAACAGACACAAATTCAGCGATAAACTTGCATGTTGTTGTTTTTTTGTTTTACTCAGGAGGTGCTGCTGAACTGTCCCGGGTCATTGATGTGGGAGATGAGGTTCTAGCTATTAATGGCAGGTCCTTGCAAGGCCTAATGCACTGTGATGCCTGGAACGTCATCAAGACAGTCTCAGAGGGCCCTGTTCAATTAGTCATTAGAAAACCCCGGACTTCAGTATGACATACAGCCAGTGGACATATTCTGTGTTAACGGAGTGCCAAACTGATCATATTGTACATATAAGGACTGCCATTTTCCCTCTTTTTATACTTTTTTTTTTAAACATGTCCCTGTGATATATTTTTTGCTCATTTTCTACTGAAGAATCAGATATTTTGGAATTGGGTGGTGTTTATAAGACTAAAACAGGTTTTTTTCTTGTTTGGTCTTAATTTTAAAGCCCATATTATTGAAAGTCAACCCCAAAAAACAAATGATTCATAACCTCCTAATGCTTCCTTTGTGACTGTGCAATCAGTGTAGCATGTACTCATTTGTACAGTGGACATGAAAACCATGAATTTACATATTTATATGGTCACATGGGAATGATGCATCTTAATTTGCTCCATGCAAATATCCTCACGATGGGTTTATTTTGTATTTTTTTATTTTTAAGTAGATTTATTTCCAGAGATCAGCGTATCAAATGAAGCTGAAGGTTGTTTGACTGCTTGCCTGAATTGAAGCATTCTCTTTCAGACTTTGTGAAATTTTCTCCAACTTCTAAATTTTTTTCTCATCCCATGTCTTCTCTGCTCCTTTTTAAAATTTATTTCCATCCAAACCCCCAGTGGGAGGAAAGCCCACAGTTGCCATTTGATAGATACTTGTTTTATTCCATCTATTCTGCAGAAATGCTGTAATTTAAGAAGTGGGTCACACAATCTATATTTGAAATATTCCACACTTCAAATGGACCTGCTATCTATCACAGGAGGTAACTTCTGTGGTTATAAAAGCACACGTCTCACAGAAAGCATATTCAGAATTGCAGACCAAACTTCTAATGACTTCTTTTGACTTAGTCCCGAACTCTTAAAGGACTACTTGATTGCATTCTTCCAGCTGTGAATATTTTTCAATGGGAAAACTCTGAGACTTTCCAGTGAGTTATTATGTTGTATCAACACTGCATCAATGCTGTAGTCATATTTTACTTGAATTGTCTATGTGTAAATATTGCATTCCCCACAAACAATACTTTAACTTAATGTATCTGGGCTTTCAAGCACAAGTTTGTTTATATTGAATCAAAACAAATCAAATAAGCAGTTATGAATATTAATATTTCTATGTATTGCACTCAAACCTGCATTTCATGTTAATGCCCTTGTGTAAAAAGACATTAAACATTTTTCAATGCCGTGATCTTCATTGTTTCTGAATTTCTTTCAATAATGCAATAATAGTTTTATGTTCAACTGGCAACACCAAAGTATATTGCATCTATTTTATCACAGTCACTGTTCTTTTTTTTTCCACAGTTGTAGAAATAGCATTACTATGAATGTCTTTGCTGCAGCTTATGCTTATTTTTTTCTTTTCCTTAACACCTTTTTAGTTTAGAGCCACTAAAAATGGACAAACACACCTCTGCACACACACATATAGGTGAAAATGGCGGAAAAAGACCCCCATTTACTATAAAGCTAAAACCATATCTGTGCACATACATGATGACGATGCGTAAACATGCACACAGTTAGAGGAATAAACTGGAACAATGGACAGTTTTGTTTTTATACAACAAAACAATTAAAGGGGCATCTTGCCCTTCTATTGGGGTAGGAAGGCTGCCTACATGGGTAGAAAAGGCTTCTGGTTAATCTTGCCTAATTCTGGCTAATGATAACAATAGCTAGCATTTAACACTAATGTTTGCTAGTCAGTGACACTTCAGTGAACAACTTCGTGTCTTTTTGACCAGAATCCAACAAAATAACGTGAGTATGCTAAAGGGGGTTTAATGCCATGTATGGGGGGACTTCTTACCCTAGAAGTGTAACTTTGCACAGTCTTTTTTTCCCCACTTCTGCTATCTCTAAATATAAATTGATAAATCAGTATTATCCAATGTCAGAAAAGTAAATCAATGACATTTGATCAGGAGGAATGATACACAATGTATATACAAGGGTTTATATATATATATGAAACTACTCACAGAAGCACATAACATTGATCATGATCTGGGATAGATGGCAGGTGAACACTCGATTGTAGTCAATGTGTTGGATGCGGGAGAAATGGGCAAGTGTGAAGATCTGAGCGACTTTGACAGGGGCCAAATTATTATTGCCAGACGGCTCCGTCAGAACATCTCCGAAAAGGCAAGGTTAGCCCTGCCTGAGTTCAAGTGGGTGTGTTTTGGCAGGAAAACATAAAAATGTGCAGGTCCTCCAGGACCAGGGTCAGGAACCACTGTTTTGGCTCATTGTGTGTGTGTGTGTGTGTAATATGAAGTTCGAATCAAGCTAACATGCAGAAGGCCTCACAAATATGAGAAGGTGACCAAATCTGGAAGTCACTTCCCAAAATAATTTTAATTTTACTATAAATTTTTCATGTGGTTTACAATAGTAAACCCCAAATTTCCTGCAGCTTTGGGTCAGTCAATGACCCAATTTTATCCTAAGACCTTCCATAGATTTACAGAAACAAGTCTTCTGCGATTTTTCTCTTGCATTGCATAACAAAAATGAGCAATTAGCAGCAACTGGGCATTGTACTTAACTAGACTCTGAAAAGAATGTGTTTGATCACATTGCGTAAAAAACATGAACTACAGATCAGAGGTTTGGACGCAGCTCTAACGTAATAAAAATGAATATGAAAAATATTTTTTTCAAGAGATACCAGACAAATGTTTTTGAGTAACCTCTTTATTCCTTAAAGGAATACTCCAGCATTTTTTCCATCTCTGCCATGCAGTTGATTATGACATGCTGTGATGGTTTCCCCTGTCCTTAATAAACTAACAGAAAACTCACTGACACAAAACACATTTATAATAGAAGCGTCTGCTCAATAGATTCTAAAATAAATGTGTTTTGAGTTTATACTTTTTTAAGTACAAGGAAGCATGAAATTTTTCATGGGAATCAGTCACAGGCTGCAAATGCAGCAGATTGAGATTAGACTGCAGAACACTGAAGTACTACTCTAAAATATACAGCAACCAAGCAGCAGTAAATAATTATAATATAATTTACTGATACAGTTAATGTAGTGTTTGCTGTTTGCTTGGCACTGTGCTGCAAGTCTACTGACACTGCAAGTCGAGGGTGGCCAGCTAGGGAAGCATTGTTTTGTGTCTTGTACCTGTCCAGATGGTTGTGACAGCCTCCCGAGACTACCACCATCGCTCTCCGCCTGCCAAGGCTTCATTAAAAACTGCCAGACAGCGGCCTGCTCATAATAGAACTCTGTGTTCAGTAAATATGTACCTGTGTTTGGACGCCCCAAAAATGGCCCGGGCACGAGAAAGCTGCAGATGTTTTTGAATTATCTTGGTATCCTGAAAGTCCTTATGTTTACACGAACAGAAGCTAATGTAGTTTTTTTTCGCCTGAAGTCTGCAAAACTGTTTGTATCAGTATGCAGTGGGCGGAAAACAATGTTGATGTAACAGTTGGAAAACAGGCTATTTTTACACCAAAAAGAGAAACTGGTGTGTCAGTGACAGCCCATGGCCTTCCCAAGTGGCCAACTTGTGTGGCTGATTTGAATTGCTTGGAAGCTGCAGTAAGTCTTTTCCAAACTCATTCTGAAGCTGGTAATTGCATTTTGAAATGTACTTTGAATGTTATCCACTCTGAATGCAGTACTTTCAGGGGAATAAATGGTTATTTAGAAGTGCAGAATTTTACATTTTGGGAAAAAAAATATTTGTTTAAACTAGATGTCTAAACATGTTTTGAAAAGTCAGAAAATCACCTCTTGCTTCCACACATTTGGCCCTTCAAGTGTTCCATTTGTATTTGAAATCTGTCGCTGTTATCTCTCAAAATCAAGTCCAAATCGCTGCATCTAAAAAAATAAAACAAGCTCATCAGAGAGTTGGCAGAAACATTAGGTGTGGCCAAATCAACTATTTGGTGTATTCCTAAAAAGAAACAAATCACAAATCACTGGAGCTCAGAACCACGAAAAAGCCTAAAAGACCATGGAAAACAACCGTGGTGGATGACAGAAAACTCAAAGGAAATCCACTGCACAACAGCTGGCCAGATCAGGAACACCCACCAGGATGTAGGCGAGTCTCTGTCCAAGTCAAAAATCAAGAGACTGTATTTATTGATAATGTGACTGTAGAGCGAATGCTGAAGTGTACAGGGCTGTATAATCTGCTCAGATCCAGTCGAATGCTTCAGAACGTACTGAACAGTGCTTCACAGTGCAGGCCAACAACAACCTTAAGCATAAAGCCTCTTGACTTTAAACCAATCGAGCATGCATTTCACTTACTGAAGGCAAAAAGCTGAAGCTAAAATACCAGAAGAACAAGCAGTGAAGTCTTGGTTGAGCATCATCAAGGAAAAAAAAATAGCATCTGGTGATGTCTATGGGTTGGAGATATTGTATATATTTCACAGCTCATTTTGCTCATGATTACCAGGGGTGCTTGTATATATATACAAGCACAGAATAAAGCATATGATAAAATATACAATATACAAAATATACACTTATTACAACAACTAATACAGAAGATGTGCAATGGGTTATGTAGAGTTATATATAAGTTAGATAAGATGAATATAGTTAGATAAGACGTGTATAGTTGCCTTACCCTCGTCCTTATCGTAGAAAAGGTCTTTCAAGATACAAAGCTGACAGGCTATGATTACACTGGATAATGTGGTTTTAAAAAATACTTGCATATTTACAAATGGGCTAATGCCAATATTTGGAAAATGGCGAGATATTGCGAGAAGTGCTTTTCCATTTTTGTTTGAGGGCATCAAAACCATTGATGGTACTAGTATGTGTTCTTATGTTGTCTTATAAGTTCCACATTACTTTGGAATGATACTTCATAAGGTTGTTATAAATAGAACAAAGATATATGACTATATATATCGCTATATGTCAATCTTTCATGGAGGAGATGCTGACAACACAATAGAGACGTACGCCTGTATAATGTAATTCACCTGAATGTCTTATGTCATCTTGGAAATGCTGACATACACTGTTCAGAAATAGTCATGTATTGTTTTTTTGAGTGCTTATGCATGTGCTATAAACTCCAGACACAGATAGACTTTACAATTACCTAGAATTATCTACAACTGGCAAAATCAAGAAGCCTCTTGCAGTTAAGTCAGTGTAAATGTGACATGATAGACTTTATTATACTGGTTACACTGTGCTTTACTGTTGGCTATGCTGTTTATTCCTTGTACTCAGTTGCTGATTTGAACTGCAGAGATTTCAGCATCACTGACTACACCAAAGGAAACGTTATTTTTAGACCCGATCAGTCAACTGTAGGTTGTTCAGAAATAGCAGCTTATGTGTGGTAGATCTACATTCAGGAGTACGGTATATAAGAGATCTACAACAAAACATGCACCATCATGCTTTGTAGTTTGATATGCGCTGTCATAGTGATAACTTTTGCAGTGAAATGAGTCAGAAACTTGTGGGTGTATCAGTGACACCCTGCAGTGTAAAAACAAAAATACAAAGTGATCTAGAAAATGTCAGAAGTCACGAGTTTCGGTTCTCATACACTTCCTCTTCTCATCCGAGCAGTCACGTATCTCAAGCCACCCGAATTAGCAAAAGCCACTAGAGAGCTGAAAGAGAAATATTGCTGCTTTCTTCTGATACACTAAACAATTTAATAATATCATTCTGATTCACTTTATGATGCTCCGACATATCTTTACAGGTTACTCAGAGGCTTTAAATAGACCACCTCTACATCTGGCCTGTCTGGGCTGTGTACATCACTGAGCTGAAATGTCACTTATGTGGGCGGATATAAGACTAAAGGCGAAGATCTATCGAACGTCTCTGGCCATCTTGTCTGACCTTTCAAAGGAGCATTCTCAGTTAAAGTGGATTGAATAAGTAGGCTTTAGAGGATATATTGAGGAACAAGTTGAAAATTGGACATGTACACTTCACTGAAATAGCATATGCTCAGAGTGTTAAAGATATCAGATATGGACATCACTGCTGGATATTCAGATACTTTTTCTAAAATCAAACAACAATGTGTAACAACACATTGTTTGTTACATATCCCTCCTACTATCTTCAAATTTACTAACAGTATTTATCCTTGCTATCAGTTTGACCCCAGCAATTTAAACCTCCAGGACATATCAAAATTCTCATGGCAATTAAGTT